GATTATGTTGAAAAGTAATACAATTTGTCCTCCAAAAGTCAATTACTAATTATAAGGGTCACAACTTTTCAATCAGCCATTGTATGAAATTAAAGAAAAATATTTTGAAATAGATTTAGTTTTTTTATGGTATTGATCCCCTGGGACAAGGACCATTTTTTAAATCCTCCTCCTGCTAGACTGATTCAAGTTTTTTTTCCGTTTTAAAAAAAATACCTTTCCTTTAAGCTAAATCAATACCAGCAAACTAAACCAGGTGAGAAACACAGGTCCTATGGGCATTTCTGGTTTACCATTTCCATGTCAAAACGTTTGAAGAAGTGTGATGATACTTCGAGCACCGGGGCTACAATAAAAGAAGTCAATGACAGTAGAAGTGAAGAGTTCGAGGACACTTGGTAGATACTAGGACTTCAATGTCAGGTGCTACAATGTATAAAACATTTCATAACATTTCCTGAAACACTGACCATAGAAATATTTTCCTGTTTTGCCCCAATTAGTTGTAAATTAAAGTCATCTTACTGTTTTGTTGGTGTTTGTCAATATGTAATTGTGTTGATTGTAAGAGATTTAAGATGACATTTTTGTAAACAGAAACAAAAGACAAAGTACTTATGACAAATTTCTTCAATAAGGCCAAACAAGGCTTGCGAAAAGAAGCGATCTTGACCTAAATTTGCTGAAACCTGAAAACTACTTCTGATTTACCAAAAGACCCAGAAGCATACTTACCCATGTAGTTCGTATTAATAAAGTTTGCAAAAATAAATGACCTTGACCAATACTTAAGGTCACATCGGTCAAATTTTGTTAACACCATTATACAATTTCTGCTGATTAAACAAAAGGCTTCGAAGCATAAAATTGGGCTGATAGTTTCTTAAAATGAATCCTGACAAAGTTGTCAAAGAAATTACTTTGACCCATCTTCAAGGTCACAGGGTCAAATTTGTTTTAACTTACGGACAACTTCTGATTTCTCGAATGATGAAGCAAAAGACCCAGAAGGCTATATTTGGCTGAGAGGTCCTTAGTATGAATTCCGTTATAAAGTTTGCAAAAAAGAAATGACCTTGACCTATATTTAAGGTCACATTGGTCAAATTTTGTTATAACTGTAAAACAGCTTCATCTGATTTAACTAAAGGCCTCAAAGCATGATAATGGACTGATAGGTTTCAAATAAAACATACTAAAATATGGAACTTTTTTTCTGATTAATCAAAAAGCATAGAAGAATATTTGGCTGGTTGGTCTCTGGGAAAATGCTCAATAAAGTTTGTGAAAAGGAATGAGCTTGACTCCTATTCAAGGTCACGGGGGCTTACTTCTTCTGATCAATTAAAAGATCCAGAAGCATATTTAGATGAGGTCAAAGTTTGTGTGAAGAAATGACCTTTACGTATATCCAAGGTCACAAAGGCCAACTTTGTTTAAACCTTAAAGCATCTGTTGATCAGGAATTGTAGATGCATGATATATGGCTGATTGACTGCTGGTGTGAATTCCGACAAAATATGCTAATAGAAATTACCTTGACCCATTCCTAAGGTCATCCGCGTTTAATTTGTTAAAAACTTTAAAACAACACCCTCTGATTATCAAAAGGGCATAGAAGTGTGGTATTTAAGTGGTATGTTCAGAGGATGAAACCTGACATATAGTGCGAAAAGAAATGACCTTGACATGTATTCAAGGTAACACAGGCCATATTCTTCTCATCAACTAAAAGTTCTAGAAGCATGATATTTGGCAGGTATGTCTTTTTTTGGAGGAACCATATTCAATGTTGCATGGGCCAAAGACTTTTTCTTGCAAACCAAAAATCCTGAGAAGCAGAATATCTGGTGGAAAGGTGTTTCAAGGTCAAAGCTGGACAAATTTGGAAACGAAAAGTTATTGTGGAATTTGGTTAAAACTGATTGAATCTGCCCATTTTGAATGCCATTGGTGCATGTGTTAATCTTACTTTTTAATGAACGTTGATTGTATTTTAATACACATTGAATATCAGGTGAGCAATACAGTTAAAAATCATAATTGATCTAAGTCCATTTCTTTATGTAAGGCAAACCCTTAGATACTAGGTTAATTTACAATTGACATCACCTATCCTTTTCAACCATTATTAACGATTAATCATTCTGGTAACATTTGTGAATTGTCATCAAGTTCAACAATAGGCAAGCAGCCAATAAAAAATTTACAGTTATTATTCATTTTCTAATCTGTATTTTCTCTTCTCTGTTATTTAGATTCTCCTTTCTGTCAGATTTTCTCTTCATGTTGTTACATTTCTGTCAGTTGTCACTTTGATCTAAGAATTCTTTGGTAAGTTAATTCTCTCTGTGTTTTCAGCTTTTTAATCTTGTCTAGATATCTCCTTTCACAATTAAACAGTCAGCTTTATTACCACAATATGAAATTGTCCAACACTTTAAAGAGTTGTAGCCCTTTGTTTTCGTAATTTTAATATTTACCCAGCTCTCCTGGAATTTTTGCCTGTTTTCCCTTTCCATATAGGTATTGATATCAACAGAATAATGTATTTTGTTCCATTCTGCAGTACTCAAGCTACCATTGGCCTTTTTAAAAAACAAAATATTAACCATACACTAAACACAATCACTTTGCATTATATTACATAAAATATATATTTTCAAATTGAATTGCAATTTTTTAGTTTACTTTATGCTTGCCTTTGGTTTAACCCATAAAACTTTTTATTCAATCTTTTAATCCTACAGATCACAGTTTGTAGTTTGGCCCAAAATGACCCTGGCTGTCGACAGGCTATGAAAAAACATCAAATCAAATAACTCCCGCTACCAATCTGTTTCAAGCATTAATTATTTACTGTTTCCATTGAACTCTTGCGGACTTTGACAAAGGATGAAAATGGAACTTTTAGACTTTGACAATTCCTTGACAGAGGATGAAAATGAAACTTTTAGACTTTGACAATTCCTTGACAGAGGATGAAAATGGAACTTTTAGACTTTGACAATTCCTTGACAGAGGATGAAAATGGAACTTTTAGACTTTGACAATTCCTTGACAGAGGATGAAAATGAAACTTTTAGACTTTGACAATTCCTTGACAGAGAATGAAAATGACACTTTCAGACTTTGACAATTCCTTGACAGAGAATGATAATGACACTTTCAGACTTTGACAATTCCTTGACAGAGAATGAAAATGAAACTTTCAGACTTTGACAAAACCTTGACAGAGAATGATAATAAGTTAATTGAATTGTTTGCCTGTCTTGCTTTACCATAAACAAAGCATAGATAATAAAAACAATTGTTTATTCAGTCTGGATGCTTAATTTTAATAATCTTATAATCTTCAACTTGAATTTTGTGCATGGATAATACTAATATTGCTCTTTGTAAATTACAGGTTACAATTAGACCACACAACATTACATTCAGTAATATTTCCATACATCCATGTATTGCTAAAGTAAGAAAGTTGTGATGCTGTGAATATGTATAGTTACTTAAACTATCTGTCTGATAATGGTACTTAAATAGAGTTTTGAATACAAAATTGACATTGTATTTTTATTACAAAGTATCATTTAGTAGTCATAAGTTACCAACTGTACCCAACATCCATGCTTGATAAGGTTTGTAAACTGAACAGTATGTAGTGACCGACTGTTTATAGCATTTAGACTTGGTAAGGTATGTATAGTGATCAGTAGTGACAACTGTGTAAAACACTTACACTTGGTAAGGCTTGTATACTGACCACTAGTGACCAACTGTGTACAATGCTCAGACTTGAAAAGGCTGGTGTACTAACCAGTACTGACAAATGTTTACAAAGCTCAAGACTTGGTAAGGCTTGTACACTGACCAGTAGTAGCCAAAAAAACACAACATTATGTAAAGATGTTTATGAACATACCCTTTAAATTGCATTAAGGCTGATGTACTAAATTTACACTAACAATGACACACTTAAAGGCCAACACACCATAATCTTCACAATGCAATATATACACCATAACTGCCATTTGAATGTAACATGTCTTTAGAAACATCAAACATTCACAGCTGCCAATATGTAAGGACCAAGTACCAAGTCAATATGATTAGTTAACTTACTCTGTGTAATCCATGCACTAATAAACACTATCGCTCGATACGATAATTTTTCCAGTTTTAAAAAGTGAAAACTCATCAAAAAACAAGGATTATAGGCCTACATTTTCGCATGCTTCACAATACACACTGTTAGCACAAAACCTGAATAAATTATCAATTTGGCTAATACCATTAGTTGCTATAACAAAGCATTCTAATCATTTTCACAAATTTTAACAACTAAACAAGTGTTCTGGAATGATACCATATCAATCATCATTTTCTTCTTCGAGGATCTGTAACATTTGGAAGATAATACTATTTTGGTGTAAGAGAAACTCTGAAAAACCAGTCTTGAAATTTTGGTAATTTTATATAGCTATAGACACTGATTTTTGACATAACCACAATTTTGCAGTAGTAAACTTTTCACACACTAGAACTGTTAAATGAAAATTGTAGCACTCTGGGACTCTCATATATAAACCACACTAAGTAAGTGCACATGGAATTATTGTAGATTTTCTATTTTTTACCAAACACTAGAATACGCCAATACATTTTCATTACCAACCATACAAATATTTGAAGTTTCCTTAAATTCACTTTCCAAAAAAAATATTGAAAAGGAAAATTTTCTGTGTTGACACAAACACGGGACTGAAGAAAGTGATTTTACAGAAAAAAAGTTTAATAATGATACAAAAGATACAATAATGATACAAACTAGTTTTCAACAGATAAACCAATAAATGTTCAATACAAATCATGATGGCACATTTTCAGTTCTCTAAAACCATTGTCTTAATCTAAACCACATCAACTTTGTTTTATATCAATAAACCTTATTTGAGTATTGTTTAAATCATCATTGATTTCAGTTTTGATCAACATTCATCTTTTGGGAATTTATTGTAACTAATAATTTGTCCTCTTTAGAAATTGTCTACAAAATTTAAAGCACTTTCAATAAAGACCTTCCAGTATTTATATCACATACTTTGTCTACTGATGCACTGTATATGATAGATTTGCTTCAGATTGAGTTAACATAATAGAACACATGGTTTACACTTGATACACATAAAACAGGATAGACTTCATTTTGAAATTTTGAACATACATCTGAGAAATATTGCGTCCTTTTCTACGTTTCATCTTCATCATTTTGATCTCATTCACAAAGATACTTCATAAAATTGTGGGATTCTTTCGGGTGGAACGGCAGGCTACCGCATTTTAGAATATATCCTGAATTTCTTCATCATTAATCACAATGACTTTTTAAAATATTTTAATGTGATTTGGGTGAACTTGATGCATTAAAAGTAAAATTTCCCTGTAGACAACCTCTTAATGTTACACTTAAATATTAAGCAGATATATTTTAGAAGGAATTATCAGACTCCATTTAGACTGAACAGAGATGGCTGTCCCTCTAGCTGAGTCGCATCTTCTTATTATTGTCTGAACAATCCACTGTGTCTGTGTCCATCACCTCTGTCAGTGTTATAGAGGGTGCCATCTGTTGCAGCAAGGAACTGTGGGATAGCTGGCCAAACAATGTCGTCAACAAGGCAACACCATATCCTGTTGCTCTTTCTCCCTTTAAGGAAAGATGAAGTTACTTCATCAATCATACACTTATTAAAAAACAACCTACAATGTGTGAAAATCTTGGTATGTCACAGGGATATCATGCAAAAGAATCATGTGTCTGTGTGACTTTGATTTCGTCATATTAAATTAGTACATGTTCTCATTAAGAAATAGGAATTCAGCCTCCAAAATATTCACACTCAAACTGCATCAACAGACACAAGTCAAGTTATGATTTTTACTAGAAAGCATTACATTGTTATGAAATCATGTTTGACAATGACACCTTGACCATACACTAATACATACACTTTTGAGAACTTAACTACTAGTTTTATTGATGTATAATCTTCACAAAGATTTTTTCTGTTCAATCATTTCTCCAAAATTGCAACAGTAAGTACTGTTTATGGTCATTTGACAATCAGACAGATATAAGCTAGTTTGAATAAGTCTGTCAGTTGAAAATAATGCTTTTATAAATACTTAAGAGACACAAAATCACATTATTGGATGTTTGTTAAAATGTTTATCCTCAATGATTTAGGTAGGTGCCAATCAGTCAAAAAGTACACAATATACTTACACTATGAACAGGATAAGCCATATCTATATGGAGCCAAGTGCCAGGGTAGTCAAAGCCAAGGTGTGAGGCGATAAACAGACCAGCACAAGATACTTGTGCATTAGCCCTATCCTGTTACAAAATATAAAATATATGATATAAATATTCAGGAATCTTATCCATACCATACTCATATGTAACAGAAACTCACCTGTAGTTGTCCATACAGGAAATCATACAATTGTACAGTCCATACTTGTGTGACATATATGTCTACTGAAATACTAGACCACACCACAAAAGGACATACTGTAGAACAAGAAATATTCATTGCGTAGAAATTATTTTGTTCTTATGGCTATAGACAAACCACCAAAATAAAATGCAACAAATAAGACTTAACAGAATTATATGTATGATTATAAATTATTTGTGGAACTTTTAACCCTTGATGTCTCAGGTTTAATCTACCAAAGAAATAAACCCATGCATATTTAATGTTATACATGTACGTTAGATAGAGTAACAAGCACTGGAGGTAGCACAGAGCTGTGACCCGTTAACTACTGACCATGCTTCACATAATTAAACACTCTACCACACAGCCACACATGCTAGCTATTGGACTATGCTGTTGTAATGTCCAAATCTTTAAACCATCACACTCCATAAAGAATAAGGCAATTGCCACTCAGATCAAAGAATGCACAAATTTTGGGAAATTGATTCATTTTGGAGAACTACAAAAAATATGGAAACACCGGTCTAATGAAAGCATACAATGTAGTCTCGCTTTTCGTTTGATCGTCATTTGTAAACTATGAGTCTGTTGCATTTGCTAATAGGTAGCAAATTAATCAAGACTGAGAGAAACTTAATAGAAGCTCACAATAATCTGTCCCACTGTTTGCTTCAGGAATAGTCACAAGTTATTTTCTATAAATTCAATTTAACAGAAACCTTGACCTCTGAAAAACAATACCTATACGAGAACTTGGCATAATAAATTCCTGATTCTCTGGGGGTCACACTCACTTTTGCTCTCTGTACCACTGAAACATATGGCAAAATTGAAGGTTTCCTGTGTAACACTTAGTGGACAAGACCAGTTTGATCATTTCATGTACATCAAACAAATCACAAGGTTGTAAAACAGTTTGTTGTAATGGCTTTGAAGTTGGGTGTCGCTCCTTTGTACTCTTCAAAGGAGCACATCAGCCTGTGATCAGTCAGTTTTTTTCTCCCGGTTCTCGCTCTAGACCAATCAAATTACTTTGCTTGAGCCTTCAGTTTTGCCATGACATATTCCAGGGGTGCAGAGAGTAATAGTGACGCAACCCAAAGAATATCAAGAACGGGCAAATAATGCCAATGTAAACATGAAGGGAGATAAGAGTTGTAAAACTTACCGCAACAGAGTTCTTCATATCAGCCACAGCACTAGCAAACTCACTGTAGTGGAGTTCTGGGCTGTAAGGCATTGGATGAACAAGGTCACCACTGGCTCTGCCTGCCTTAACACTAGCCAGCTCTATATCCTCATTGTTGGTCACCACAGAGGCATGATATTTCCCTAATAAAACAATACAAAATAACACAAATTAAACAGGATTTAAATCATTCTGACACTCCATTCTTCTCATTTATCACACATTATCACATTTTATAGGGTTTAGTGATAACACTTACTTACCAGTCTACATATGTTTACTGTTCATTCCTTAACTTTTTCAACAATTTCCAACTGAATTATTTACAAACTACTACACACAAAGAAGAGTAACTACTATCATTATAGCAGGGGCAATTGTGGCCACATCCTAAAGAGAATGCTGTTTATCAACATAAATTTACCTCCAACAACCTGTAAACTATACCTTGAGCAATGTCACCATACCTACAAACACACCTGTATATACTTACCTCTATCTACATCCTGAGTATCAGATGATGTCACCATACCTACAAACACACCTGTATACACTTACCTGTAGTTATATCCTGATTACCAGATGATGTCACCATACCTACAAACACACCTGTATATACTTACCTCTATCTACATCCTGAGTATCAGATGATGTCACCATACCTACAAACACACCTGTATACACTTACCTGTAGTTATATCCTGAATACCAGATGATGTCACCATACCTACAAACACACCTGTATATACTTACCTCTATCTACATCCTGAGTATCAGATGATGTCACCATACCTACAAACACACCTGTATACACTTACCTGTATTTTATCCTGAGTACCAGATGATGTCACCATACCTACAAACACACCTGTATACACTTACCTGTATTTTATCCTGAGTACCAGATGATGTCACCATACCTACAAACACACCTGTATATACTTACCTCTATCTACATCCTGAGTATCAGATGATGTCACCATACCTACAAACACACCTGTATACACTTACCTGTAGTTATATCCTGAATACCAGATGATGTCACCATTCCTACAAACACACCTGTATACACTTACCTGTATTTTATCCTGAGTACCAGATGATGTCACCATACCTACAAACACACCTGTATACACTTAGCTGTATTTATCCTGAGTACCAGATGATGTCACCATACCTACAAACACACATGTGTATACTAATTGTAGCCACACCCTAAACACCAGTCAATGTTGTCATGTCTATGCCAAAACCTATATAACCCTTACCTGTAGCTATACCCTGAGATCCGGACAATGATGCCATATCTATGTCCACACCTGTATTCACTAACTTTAGCTATACCCTAAGCAACAGACGATGTTGCCATATTTATGACCATACTTGTTTACACTTACCTGTAGCTATACCCTGAGCACCAGTCAATGTTGCCATATCTACGACTACATCAGCTTTCAGATCTTTTCTAGCATATGCTACCTGCAAAGGCAAACATCCGTTTAAATCAGTAACTTTCTCTTGAAGGTTGACTGGAAAAGAATCTGTACGGCAAAAAATACATATAATTTAGTTTAAACCATGAACTATTTGAAATTTCCAAAATAAAAGATATTTATATTCCCTAAAAGTCACATTTTAGAATACATCCACACAATAGTTTTACAACATTATCAATCAGATATTCACAGATTCACTAGAAACACTTACCCCATCTCCTAAAACAAGACGCCCTTCTGCATCAGTATTGTTCATTTCTACTGTTCTGCAAAAGATAAATTGAGTGATTCTGAAAAAACGAGTTGTAAAAATTCTAATTTTGAGATAGGTTTACAAAATTCTAATTGATATGGCAGCAACATCAGTGAAATACATTCAGAATCTTTTTGATATGCGTTATTTACCAAAACATTTCTTTCAATGAAGGTTAGTCCATACATCCTAAAAAGTACCTATATGTCTGTGCATTTAAAATCATTAATCCTGTCATGCTATATAAAGTGGCGCAGAAACTGTTCAGTGTCCTGCACTTGTCTGTCTAGTGAAACACTGGTTTGAGAACTGACCTGCCTAAGTATATGGTGAGTGACCATTTGTATACTAACCTGTCTGTGTAAATGGTGAAACACCTAATTGTGAACTGACCCGCCTAAGTATATGGTGAGTGACCTGCCAGAGTACATGGTGGAGAATTTTTTTAAGTATGATCAGACTGACTACATGGTGAAGTACTGATTTGAGTACTGATTTTTCCTGTGCACATGGTGAGACAATGGTTTTGTTAATTGACCTGTTTGAGTACAAGGTGAGACAATGGTTTTGTTAATTGACCTGTTTGAGTACAAGGTGAGACAATGGTTTTGTTAATTGACCTGTTTGAGTACAAGGTGAGACAATGGTTTTGTTAATTGGCCTGTTTGTGTACAAGGTGAGACAATGGTTTTGTTAATTGACCTGTTTGAGTACAAGGTGAGACAATGGTTTTGTTAATTGACCTGTTTGAGTACAAGGTGAGACAATGGTTTTGTTAATTGACCTGTTTGAGTACAAGGTGAGACAATGGTTTTGTTAATTGGCCTGTTTGAGTACAAGGTGAGACAATGGTTTTGTTAATTGACCTGTTTGAGTACAAGGTGAGACAATGGTTTTGTTAATTGACCTGTTTGAGTACAAGGTGAGACAATGGTTTTGTTAATTGACCTGTTTGAGTACAAGGTGAGACAATGGTTTTGTTAATTGGCCTGTTTGAGTACAAGGTGAGACAATGGTTTTGTTAATTGACCTGTTTGAGTACAAGGTGAGACAATGGTTTTGCACACTGACCTGCCTGAGTACATGGTGAAGATATCATCTGGTCGAGCTGCTATCGAAGCTACCGCATTCTCTGCCAGGCAGAACACTGCATGCAGGTTCTCACTGAAACCCTACCATCCCAACAAACACAAACAAGGTTAACAGAGTCAAGACAACCTATACAGACAACAATCACCTAACCTAGGGGGTAAATAAAGATTCTTAAGAACACCATAATCATTTTACATTTAATAAGAATGAATATTTGTTTATGGTAAGAAAGATTTAAGGTAAATAGCATGTTTTAGATTAGTAAAAAAACTATCATTTGATAAAGAAACAATTCCAGTTAAGATAATAAAATCTATATTAATATCAATTATGACAAACATTTAGCCGGATTTTTAGGAGCCCTATACCTGTACATACCATTTTGACAGCGGCATAAAAAGCTCCCAGGATACCAGCTGCTCCGCCACAATCTCTCTTCATCCCACACATACCTGTCTACAATGAACTTCCAGTTGATATATCAGGTTATAGTGATAATACTTAAGGAAGAGGATCATACACAATTGGCCTATTGAACACCGCATTTAATTTATGACATAATCTATGGATTAGATATGGCATGTTTAATATAAAATTTGATATGATATAGCATCATCTGTAATATTCTCCTTATTTGTAACAATCATTGATATAATAACATTAAAGGTCATTCCATATAAGGCAGATGAATTTTGACCTGGAGAGGAATTCTTTTGCAGTCATGACAAACATGACATTTATATATGTTGTCATAGTTACGTTATTATACGTCTTGCAATTTTTATGACATCAAAATGTAACATGGCCCAGCAGACATTTTACTTAGGAATAAAATAATCCAACACTCAACTACCTGTTAGAGATTTCCTACCTTAGTTTTGATGCAGAGGCCACCAGAATCAAACACAATACCCTTGCCGACCCAAGCAATGCTCTTAGTCGCTCCTGCTGGTTGATGACTAAGGATGGCAAGAGCAGGAGGATGGTCTGCTGCTTTTCCCACAGTGTATAAACCTATGTAATGGTTGTTCCAAGTTATTTGTAATCAATGAATACAATTCATGTGATTTTTTGAAATCAATTTGATTTAAACACAAGCCAATGATGATGATTTTAAAATAACATCTTAAAATTTTCTTTATTCCTCATAAAGAAAAGTCACTTTATTTTATTTATTATAATGGTGATTCATTATCAACTGACAGGTTTCTCAACAGAACTGCACAATGAAAGCAAGTTAGGAAATAAAAAAAAAGAGAAATATATGAAGTACAAAATACATGAATAATACCTTTTGATCAGCATTTGCAGACCCAAAGTTATTACATATGCAAATTATATGGGTGCACAAATTTCAAGGATGTTTTGCAATATACATATTTACAAAAATACTTGTAGATATTTTTTTCGTTGTTTAGTTGTTAGACCAGTCTTGTTAATTATATAACAAATACAATATTCATTTAATCAAATGATGCTAATTATGACACATGCATTTCCCTATCGAATTTCAACCCTTATTAATTTTTCAAGAATCCTAAAACAAAATTGCATGCATTACCGAAACTACATTTCTGAGGATAAGAGGTTTTTTTCTTTTAACAAAAGTGAAGGAGCCAGTGATTGACCTCAAAACACATGTTTTGTTGGGGCTAAGTTTCCTCTTATCTACTGTAACACTGAATAGACAAGGTACCTCCAAATCCCTGCCTATCTAAATCTTCGCCTCTGATGATCATTGGACGTATATTGAGCTCATCGCCTACGGTTTGGATTTCCTGAAACAGAGTTCCTAGAGATGAAAGTTCTTGCAAAAAGAAATATACAAATAAATCCTTGAAAAAAAAAAAACCAAACAAACAAATTGTTAATTCTAACAGCTGTGTACTACCCAAGAAGATTAAATGCCAGTCTTGTTCAAAAGATATAAACACAAATAATTTAGGCTACATTAACAATTCCTGAAAATAGGGCTCCACATGGGATAAGTATATGCTGAATTATTCAGTAATTGACTTGACTGGCATCTGGTCTTCTGACCAGTTAATTATTGCCTGATATTACTTATACTAACTTTAAGGAAACCATCAGTGTGCATTTCTGAGCATGGAATATCAACAATCTTTGCTGCAAGTCGCACTCCTTTAGCTTCTGCAGCAAGACATGCTAGGTCTTGTTCAGTCAAGTGTGTCTCATTGCCATCACCGACCAGGAGGAATTCAACAGTGATGGTGCGATCTTCTGTTGAGGCATTGGATTTACCATTAAATAATGGAAGAACACGGGCCACAGCACAACCAGATGCCAAAACATCACCCCTCTCACAAACAATCTATTGGAATACAAAATTTCATATCTTTTGTAATATGATGTATGTTATCAATTTTCATTTTTTTTCAGGAGTAACTTTATTTTTTTTATTGAGTCATAACGTAAAAAACGCAATGAACTTTGAAATAAACCATACAGCGGTTTATGCCAAGAGTTCACCCTGTTTTTTTATCATGTATTATGGATCAATAACACAAAAAATAATTAAAAGTAAAACCTACCAGTTTTATCAAAAATTGCAATATTTCTTACATTTATAATGGACTCCTTTCTATGAAAACTGTCCAATCAAATGCAACGTTTCAAAATGTTGTCAGTTTTTAATGTAATGGGATGAAAATAAAAAAATAGCAAATGAAATATTTATTTCATAGAGGATTAAACGATTCAAGTATTATATACTATGGATTCAATCTGGTTTCCAAACTAATAATTCAATTTACAAAGTAAAAATAAAAGATATAAACTATCATCTTTTTAAAAAACAGCAAATTTAACTGCTCTATTTAAGGGATACTTACAACAACATATTCACTGGTACTGTTTCCAATAAAGGTCTTTACAACCTTGGACAGAGCGTGTGCTCGAGAGGGTGTGTTGTGACGACTACACTTTGTGGGCAGAGCAGCCACTGCAGCATTGTTCAGCCAAAGTGGACAGGAATCTGTCGGGGAAGGGTGAAGGCCTGCAACTGCTTTCTCAAAAGTCTTGAAATAAAAAAATACCATTAATAACATGGGAATGACTACAGCAAGGCAGCATTTATGATTCCTGAAACAGCCAGATGTCTTATATTTATATATATATATATGAAGTTTATGATACAGCTGTGTTTTGTATACAACTGTATAAAGTAAACTCCAATGACACATAATTTTGATCTGAACACAAATAATCAAACATAAATGCTCAGCTCAGTTTCAAATGACTGACAGCTCCTCACATTTCAGTTCAAATACTTGCCTATAGTTATGTGCTTATGATTCAGTAAAAATTGTCTAAAAAACACAAAATAATGGCATTGAAATCCATTACATACATAACTGCTCAGTTGTTTGCAATTTTGTATTCCTTGTTAGAGAACTAATATCAACAGACTGGATTATTTGTTATTGTGTAGAAGTTGTTTTAAGATTTTAACACATTTGACCCCTGTTACCTTTAAGAAGAGAAAAGGTAAATCACATTGACAAAATTAGTAACCCTTCATGCCTGCATTACACAGTCCAAAGCACCTAAACCTTTTGGTTATTTAGAAAAAGTTGTTTAACAATCTTGCCATATTTAATACCTGTGATCTTGAAATTAAGTCAAGGTCAATAATACATGTATGAACAAAATCAGTAGCCCTTCATCCCAGCATTCTAGAGGCCTGTTATCAGGACCCTGAACCTTGTGATAATTGAGAAGATTTTGTTGAAAGATTTCAACACAACTAACTCCTGTGACCTTGTAACTATGTGGGTCAAGGTCATTCATTTTAACAATTTTGGTAGCCCGCCCTTCCTTCCAGCATGACACAGACCCAATATCAGCACCCTGTGCCTTTTGATTATTGAGAAGAAGATATCTAAAGATTACAACATATTTGACCAGTGAGCTTGAAAGTGGGTGAAGGTCATTCATTTTAACAAATTTTGGTAACCCATCATCACAGCATGCTATTAGTAAAAATCAGCACCCTGGACCTTTTGGTTGTTGAGAAGAAGTTGTTTAAGATTTCACCTCATTTGACCTCTGTGACCTGAAAAGTAGGTGAGATCATTCATTTTCACAGGCTTGGCAGCCCTTCATCCCAGCATGCTACAGGCGAAAATATCAACACTCTTGGCCTTTTGGTTAATGAAAAAAAATCATTTGAATGGCAAGTTTAAGCATGGCGGATGGCGATGAAACATGGTGGCTATAGGTAATTCTGACCATTCAATGATCTAAACACATGAATGGTGAACATGAAGTTAAAAAAATTCTCACAAAATGTTTATTATCTTTTTCCAATAACATGTCCAATCTAACCCTTTTATTTTCTTACACACCTCAGCATCCACCCGAGGTTCCAGTTTCATCTTAACATCATTGAAAGAAATCCTGGTGAGGTTCTTCACTTGTCCTACTATAATGACTGGCGAAGTCTCAGGATTTGTCTCCGACAACTTCCCAGAAAATATTATCTCAGTTGACATTTTAGCAGACCTGTTAATAAAAGTACAAACATGTCAATGATTTTTTTTTATTTAGAGTAAAAAAAAGTATTGTTTTAGGTGTTTCATATCAATATTGGAACTATTATTAAACCATAAATTATAATCCCCCCTCCATTGATATTTCAGACCAAATCTGGTTGAAATCAATGCAGACATTATTTTAAATCAAAATCTGAAAACTTCTCTTTTGGGGCCCTACCCTATAGTCTCCAGGGACCAAATAAACTTTGTTTATACATTTTATGATTACCCTCCTCCAATGATGTTGCGAGCCAAATTTGGTTGAATTCAGTTTAAGCATAGAAGAAGATTAAGCCATTTTGATGTAAAAGTTTATGCATGACAGATGATGTCATGTGCAACATGATAGCAATATGTCATCAATATCTATGTAATGATAGTATAAAGTATATTTCTTGCAATTGTAAATTCAGGGCTCTTGATCTGCCAGATTTGGGGCCGAATATCGGCCCCACTCCCAATGCAAAATAGTATCTTCTTTCCCAATTTAGACCCCAAGTTTCCCAAATTCTAAGCAAAACATCATTATTTTTCCCAATTCAAAGGGCCCTGGGCCCCAGTCCCACAAAGGGAGAGTGAGAGCCCTGAAATTTCATTACACCAATTCCAGTCTACTTTCTCAGGCAATCTCCTTTCTATATAACAGCTTTTTAACTCTCCCCCCCCCCCCCCCCCCCCCCTTCTAGTTCCCGATCTCTTATATTAGGCTTATACTTTCATCATACACCCTTCACATCTTTCTCTCTCTTTTCTTCCTTCTCCCAAATGATGATTCCTCCTTGGGACTTATCTATATCGGACGTTTGACAATGTCCCTCGTCGGATATAAATGTGTCCAATGGAGGAACCTCCAAGCGGAATACTCCTTTAAAAAAAAAATTTTCAAACTAAAGTAATTTTCTGAAACAATAACCATCCTTGTTTTCTTTCTATTGTTTTCAACAACTTTTCATGCTTAAAAGTGGTATTTTTCGAAGAATGTTTACCAAAGACAAGTGCAACGTCAAACACCAGATCAGCTTGTCTAAAATGTCAATCATGCAACTAGCCAAACCGCTTGGAAAACGATAAACGAAAGCGGACTGACAACAATTACAAACCGTAACAGAATATGATGCTTTATCATATTTTCACGTGAAGTTATAATGCAGTTTACAGTCATGAATTATGTCTTACTCTTATACTCACTTCAGATGTCTTCTTTTCTGATACAAAGTTCACTTCGCAAACAACCTGTCCCAGCCGGTAAGAACTGAGAGGAAGTTGAATAATTCAACTACAAAATAAAACAAGCAAGACCGGAAATAAATCGGAAAGAAAATTGTAAAGTTTGTGTTTTTAGTGTGATATATTTTTTTATGTAAGCAATATGGACTGTGCTTTTATTTTATTATCTTATTTTAGCAACATATTTTTTATTATTGTTTTCAAAGTAATTCAGTGTTGCAGTACAAGTGAGTTTGTAAATGTAGGCATTTGGTACTGAAACAATAACCAAAAATGTATATCATTATCTTAATAATTAACCATGATTGATCCTGTTTGTGGTTATATTATGAAATCAACATTCAATATAATTGACAATATGAAATACTTTCCGGAAGAAACTTTCAAATTTATTTTTTCGGATCGTACTTTATGTTTCTCCGGGAAGATGGCTGCCTCCATGGAAGACGAACGGCAGAGGAAGTTTTCCAGTGAGAGACATGCCAAAAAGATACTGAATGCTCTGAACGAAAACAGAAAGCTTCAGCCTTTTTGTGACGGAACAGTTGTCATAAGGGATAACAGCATATGTGTCCAGAAGAACGTCCTGGCAGCAGCTAGCCATTACTTCAGGTAGTTCTTATTTCCATGTAGATCTATGAATTCTGCTGTGAAAACGACATTACATTTAAATAATGATTACATGAGTTATAATTTTTTTCCAGATATATGTTAGATTGTAGTTATATACGAATCTTAGTTCAAGAGAAGGACTAGTCTGCCTTCTGACTACCGATGGGAATGTTGTCTGTACTACCACTGCACTACCTTGGGCAAATTACACCCAGTCTCCTAAAATGTTTTCAAAATCATGAAAGAACAAGCAAACAAGTATTATGTCAGGGCAGCTATTGAGTATGCTTACACAATGTGGAATCAATAGTTGAAAATTAGATCAGCAAAATAGAAATGTTCTTAGGGTTGTTTAGCTACTTATATTTCATCTATACTGGTTATGGTTTGCTTACACATATTGAAGTTTATGTCATGTGTGGGTGTAGTGGGATGATAGGAGCTTTAGGGTGATATGATTTAATGCCATTGATTTGAATGAAAGTAAAAAGTCAGAAGAGGTAATTTCATTATCTTTGGTTGTCTAATTGCAAGGAAAGGATTCTAGCCTTATGGATAAAACTTTCAGATTGTGCGTCAGGAAGTGGTTGAACGAGGATGGCATTGGCTTTTTGATGATGTTATTTACGTAAGTCATAGGTGATTGCAACCTCAAGATATTTGGTCTTTTGTTACATGTTCCAACTTGTGGTCATGGAAAATATAGAGATGGCAGATGAGTTATCTGTTCCTAGTGACAGGAAGGACTTGGCATATCCAATAATGGAAAGTCATTTAACTTTTCACCTCCTGGAGGGCTAGCTGATCAAGATATTTTTTTCAGGGAGTGGATGTCTGTCTGTGATGCCACAGTTAAATTACATGATGGTATCATCTGCAAAGAATCTGATAGAAAATGTAATACCCTTGATGATATCATTAATGAAGTATAAGAAAAGACTAAAAGCTAGGTTTACTCTAAATCGTCATGGAAATAAGTCCAGTGAGGAAGTTCCGAAGATGCTCAACAATTTTTGTTAGATACAAGAGTAAAACGTGTTAAAATTTTTATACAACTTTTTAAAACACAATAATCAAAACACACAGAGTGCTTATATTGAACCTGTATCATGCTGAGATTAATGGTTGCCAGGGTTGTTCAAATGAATTACCTTGATCTATTTTCAAGATCAAAGGGGTCAATTTTGTTGTAAACACAAATTTCTTCATTCAACAAGCAATAGCTCTTAGGTCATGCTAATTGTGTAGTAGCATGCTTGAGGAATAGGATTTCAGATTGGCATGAATTGACTTCATGAACCAATAAAGTCTTTTTGTGTAAGCTGTAGTACAGGTTCAATTCAGGCCCATTGGGCCTTTTGTTTGCATTAACTCTTAAGATCTTTTGAATCTGAACTGTTTTGATCACTAATACTACTACAAATGTACTACTATTCTTAGTGGGCCTCTAAAGTCAGATGACTGTTAACGCCTGTGGGCTTCTTGTTTAAAACTGCCACGCATTTTTGAAAACCTGCAAACTTTCTAGATAATTTGACTCATAATAACATTATAAATTTAACTTACTTTAGCATTTTCTTAATATATTTCAAGTATTTCTTACATTTTTTGTTTTTGTTTTTTTACAAATACTTGCAGGTTGGTGTTTAACTATGAGACAGATCCTGCAAACCCTGTAACTCAGAACAAACAGGCAACAGTTAATATAACGTCCCTGGGAATCAGTTTTGAAACATTCAAAATCATTCTAGACTACATCTACACATCAGAAATCAAAATCAGTGATGAAAATATACAGGACATTCTTCAGGCTGCTGATCTTTTGTTACTGGTTGATCTCAAAGAATTGTGTTGTGACTATCTTGAGCAGTGTATCACTGCTCAGAACTGTTTGGGTATCCGAGAGTTCTCCTCCAGGTTCTCCTGTCCGTGGATACATCTAAAGGCTTCTATGTTTCTGGATGAACATTTTAGGTAAGTCTATGGCTCATTGTAATTTTGCCCTTAAAAAATTGAAGTAAGTGCAACAAGAAGCAAAAACTGAGATTTGACTGTCTGTTTTGTTTCTAAATATAGAATCTCATAATGATGAAACTTGTAGTATTTTGATTTTATGTGTATAGCACAATTGCCGTCTGTGTACAAAATAAAAATGTTACTTCTGTAACAACTTTTATTTGTAAAATAATTTCTGATCTCGCAGTGGCTTATTATAAATATCTGATCATGTGTAAACAGAGATATCAGTCACTGCGAGGAGTTCCTCAGACTGTCTCCAGATGCTCTAACGGAGGTGCTGTCCCACGACACTCTGTCTATCAAGTCTGAAGAGGAAGTCTTCGGTAGTATAATCAGATGGGTCAAGTTTGATGAGGCCACTCGGAAAGTGTGTTTAGAAGATTTAATGTTGTCATGTCTGCGTGCAGATCAGATGTCTGATACGTTCCTACAGAAACTGACTAGGATGGATACTGGGTACGATCCGAATATTCTTAGGAAAATTGTGGAAGATGTTCGTATACTGAAGCCAAACCAGAAATGCCGTGGTTTTGCGAATGTTTTGCTAGTATGTGGTGGTGAAGGACAACCTCATGCGTAAGTTCTGTGTCAAGATTCTTGTTTTGTGTGGAGAGAATATTTTCTTATGAACATGAAACTGGGAAATCTACACCATTCAGTAATTTTTTATTTATTTTTTTTTTTTCTATTTCATTCTATCTGTCTGGTCTCTTGATGTGGCATTTGGCACAAAGTCAACACAGTGATTCAAAAGATGTCATATTTATTTGCCTCCCTGACACATAACTGAGAAAGGATATTTCAAGATGAGTTATGAGATCAACTAATGAGCTAGGTCAGTTTGGAACACATACAGGTAATAAATTTCATTTATAAATACTTATTGTGTGAGTATCAATACTCTAACAGCAAATGAATGTTGAAATGTTTTTATTTTGTACAGAAAGAGTAATGAACTAGAGATTAAAGCCTGCGTGCGTTGCATTGTGCCCAGTAAACGTGAAAACAACACTAATGGTCAGTGGGTGGACCTAGCCAATATGACCACTGATAGGATAGGACATGGTATTGTAGAAGTAGGTAAGTAGGGCCGACCAGTGTCCACTACCCCGTCAGAACAGCCACTGATGAAGTAGATAGTATCCAGGAAATAATAAGGTTCCTATTCATTGTGGGTCTCTGTCAAGCATATAGTATCATTGTAAGCAACTTCACTTTAAGATAATTTTATAACGAATGGATCTCAGATTCACACATGAAATGAATATTTCGATTAAAGTAAATATTCATCTGAGACAAGGAAAGATTTTTGTTAGCTGAAACATAGTATTGTTGATATGGGTTTGAAACAGACCACTTCCATATCCCACCCCACCCAATATTCCAATCAGACCAACTGTAAGATTGATGCTTACTTTCAAAGTGCTTCCAATGTCTGGAAGTATTTATTGGGAAAATTCTTTAATCACTAGTCATGTTATATCAGGTTGTCCAGTAGTTATGTATAGCTTGAGTATTCACTTGGTAAACTAGGTTGTTCAATAGTTAGACTGAGTATTCACTTGGTAAACCAGGTTGTTCAGTAGTTACCTTGAGCCTTCACTTGGTAAACTAGGTTGTTCAGTAGTTACCCTGAGACTTCACTTGGTATCTTAGGTATAAAGTTCTAGTAACAAGTAGTGTTGTGGATGAATAATAATTGCAAAGACTGCTGTATTAAATTTCAGAGTTTACATAAACATAGGTCTCTAGTGGTTTCTGGAGTCTAGATTAAATGTGTTGTTACAGTAGTTTCTTCAGCCTCAGTACCAGATTCTGCTGTTTCTGATAGAACCTTCATTACCAAGATAATAGTTTCCAGAGTCTTTGTTTCTGCATACAAATACTATACATAGTCTCAGTAGCCTAGATATACTTGTCTCTAAAGGAACTTTCAAAACTTGTTCTCCAGTAGCTGTCTAACACAGTTGTCAAATAATTATCAAAGTGATAATCTAGACTCACCTGTAGTCTCCCATGTAAGATGACCTTATCAGGATTATTTGTGATTTGTTACAGGTGGTTACCTGTATGCTGTGGGAGGACGTAATAACAAATGTCAAATTCTCAACACTGGCGAAAAATATGATCCTCACCAGAATAAATGGTCTCCAATCGCTCCAATGGAGCATGCCAGAGTTGGATTTGGTCTGGTTGCCATTGACGACCACATTTACTCACTGGGAGGCAGCAATGATATGACAGATCCACTTACCTCAGGTGAGGTTTACAACGTACTCACCAACAAATGGCGTCCTATCCCGGAGATGAACCTTAAGCGAGTCTGGTCCTCGTTTGCAGCTGTGGACAAGAAGATTTATGTGATAGCAGGAGGTGCAATAGGGAAACTTTTTGAGGCAGTTGAATGTTATGACACGCGAACAGAGACGTGGACCTCAGTCTCTCCAATGAGAGAACGCCGGTGTGACGCCCGAGCAGTCGCTGTTGACAATGATATTTATGTGTTTGGTGGATTTAGACGTATTGAGTGCCCAAGTGCTATGCATGGTGGGCACAGTGTAAAGTTCTGTGGGACTGAGATCTACTCAACACGCAATGACTACTGGGCTCATGCTCATACCCGTGGCGTTGGTCTTTGTACAATGTCAGACGCATCACAGATCTATGGGGCAGTGTATGATGGAGATGAAGTATTGGTAGTAGGGGCATTAGATGTGGGTGGAACATACCATTGTGTGCGAGGGTTTAATTTTCATACAAACAGCTGGCGTTGTGTAGTACAGAACCCTCCAGCCATGCAGCGTGGACACTCGTCAACAATGTTCAGGATGCCCCTCCATCGACTTCGCAACCTACAGTGGGATCAGGGCAAGCTTACGTTCACAGATATCATGTAACATGAATGACACAGTGTCGCCTCACTTTGTCTAACCTAGGGTTAACATCAGAGTAGGTAGAGATGTGTCAGTGTGTACTTCATATCATGTTCAGAATTTGAATCCAAGAAAGTCAAGAACAAAAAAGAAACAAATGTAATATGAATGCCAAGGCTTAATGAGTTAGAATTTGTTTAATTCATAATAACTCCTTAACATTCAAATTGCTCCTGATAAACACTGCTTACTATGATTTTATGATCCAAAACGGAAATAGTTCTATTTTGATGCGGATGGTAAAATTCATTCATTATGTAAAGACATTATTATTTATGGGCATCAGAACATATCAGCTGATAAGGGTATGTGTTTGAGATTGCAGGTATGTATATCAAGGTAAAGTATATAGAACAAAGTCTAGGTTAAACATCAAGCCTATTTATCAAGGTAACGTGTTTAGAGATAAAAGATTTTGAATTATGAGCTATCTAATGAGTCAATCACGATATTTTAACTTTAGAGCCAATGTGAACTAACACTTCTCAGAACAAAAAAAAATTCAAAACATCAACAATGTGAAAAACTGGTAATTTTTAGCTCACCTGGTCTGATGCATGGTGCCTGGCATCTGTCTGTCAACTTTTTCTTGAAATTGGTACTATTTATGAACTACTAAAAATCTTGTATAAACGGAGGAGTTTGGGGCCTGCGGGAGGCAGGCATATTGGAGGCAAACTAGATATAAATCTTTAAGAACTTGTTTTCTTTAATTCAAATAAAGTAATTCCATCCTAACAAACCAGGTAAGTGATATAGGTCATGCTAACAAACCAGGTGAGGGATATAGGCCCTTTAGGCCACTTGTTTTAAGTTTGTCTAATGTAAAATTAAATGATCAATGTGCAATAGAAAAAGTTACATGGCTAGATGTGACTACAAGGATCTTTCTAATTGGCAAGTTGCCTACCTTGTTCATAATCTGGCAGGTCTGTGTATTATTTAATTATTTTTCTCTAATCTAATTAAATTATATGTAGTTGTCTCCCTTGGAGAGCCCCTCAAAAGGATATGTTGTATACATTATAAAAGTGATTAATTTGGTCTGTTGTACGTGTTTCCCTTTATGTGTTATGAAATGACTGTTGATGACCTTGGTATGTCTCATAAATGACAATATGTACCTGTCATTCTTGATAACTAAAGTTGAAGTACATGTAGTATGTATAATTATCTCCCTTTGTATGTCTAGTAGATGATTATGTATTGCTTTTGTTAGTCCTGTAAATTGACAGTTGATTTGTCTGATGACAATTAAATGTTAAAAATTAACTCCCATGATCATGATGTAGATAGATATTATAGCATTCTCATGGTCTTGTGTATAACATTGAAACGGACCGATGACACTTGTACTCATTTGTCATCTGACAGAAATCCTCTCATTTAATCAACTAAATAAATAAAATGGTATCTTGATGATAAACAGTAGATCTTTAGATATAAAATGTCATTTTAGTAAAATCAGTTATGAATCGCAGCCTTTCATTCAATTCTCTTAATTTGTTTATATTTCTCTGTCATCTGTCTAAGGCTGATTTCATGTAAACTGGTTATAAATGAGCCGGTGAACTAGAATTATTCTGCTATTGATTATCAAACCTCTACCAGTATTATATGTAGAGATCATAGAACACAGTTTTTAAAATTTTGCCAAGGCTAAAATTATTCATTAAGTACATTTCATTAAACCTTTAAAGATGTACTTTCATGAGAATTTTTTAAAATCCAGTGTTAAAATTTTTTTTCTAATGATGATTTTATGAAAGGTTTGATTTCAGAAAGTAGATAAAAAGCAAAAACAAAACCAGTATGTTGCTGCACTACTTTTTCCAGTAAAGGTGTAAGAATGTGTGTAACAGGAAATCATTCATTTCCATGTATTATTCGTATTTTTTTCCCTGAGTAACAAGAGACATTCACTTCACTTTTGGCAACCTTTTCTTAAATTAAATTTTTGTCTTTCATTTCAAAGTAAGGAATTATATTTGGATATCCAGAAAAAAGTATGTGAAAATGCGAACTTTTCATTTTATTTAAAGAGCTTTAAGCTGCATAAAATCAAAAAATGAAAATGATCCAAAATGACATACATTTTTTTTAAATGAGTACTAAACTTTTTTAAGACTATGCATAAGTTTTGATAGAGAGATTTTTTGATGATATTTTTCATGTTTGAAAAAGGAGAGGTCTTTGCGCTTTATTTTTTGGAAGTTTGCAACCAAAATAGCTAGCTTTTACAAGAACAAGAAACCAGTCGAAATGTATAGAAACCAAAAAACTTTGAAAATGTCGACACTGTTAACCATATCATGCCTTGAATTATGCCATCAAAAAAGGAGTCTGCAAGCGAATTTTTTCAACATATCATCTGTTTTTAACACTTAAGTACAGTTATAGATGACAAAGCATACGAAGGACAAATCTCCAACACATGTTTGAGTTCATCTTATATTGAATTATGCCTTACTTCAGGTCAAAACATCAAAGTCTTTAAATTCTGAAGTTCAGCGATGGTCAGAGAGTTAATTTGAAATAGATATAGTTAACCCTCTCAAACTGCACATGCTGCATATTCTGCAGACCTAGACATGATTGCGATCAATACCTGGAGTTTTTCTAGCATGTACAGCCAGTCCAGCTGTTTCATTTGCTCACAATTTGTGTACATTATCTTCCATCATCTGTTACTTCACTATGGTACAGAACTGTTTTCCATTGTTTGCTTCTTGAATGACTATTTTGTATATAGTAGTCTCTATATAATAGACAGATGATAGTCTTATGGTCTTGTTTGACCTGTCTACCAGATGATTATATAGAACCATGTCCCTGTTTTGGCACGGTGGATTGCAGTTGTATAGAATTGTCTCCCTTTATGATAAGTCTCTCAGAATCTTCCTTTATCTACTCACAAGATGAATTCTTATAGAGTTGTCTCCCTTCATTAGACTAAAGGAAGGTTTCTATACTTTCTATTGATTTTTTCCTCCATGGAATGAATTTATGTAAAGTTGTTTCCAATCTTTAGTCAAGAAGATGACTAATTTCTGTTGGCTTCCTTCATCCATGAAATGAATGTGTGTACATTTGTTTCCCTTTATCAGTCTAGAAAGTGACTATTGTCTATGTCTTCATTCATGCATGAATAAATATTTGTGGAGTTTTCTCCCTTCATTAGCCAAGTGAATACTTTCTCCTGGCACCCTTCATCTATCCATTGAGTGAATTTATGTAGTATTGTGCCCCTTTATCTGTCTACATGAACCTGATGTCTCCATTTAGCTGTTCAGTAAATTAATTTATTTTATGTGTACAGATAGATTCTTCTTCATTCATCTACTTTCATTTTAGATGATGACATTGAATGAAACAGACTGTCATACTTTAAAATCATTTATCATCCCTGATTTATTTGCAGTGATAAATTGTCACAAAGATGTTTCTTTCATAAGAATTTGCGAAACTGAATTGCACAGACCAGCATTATGAAAAAAATAACAGGATTTATTACCATGTCTTCTTTTCTTTGATTAATTAGGGTTTTACTATGATATAAATACATTTAGAAAGTGATTAAATTAACAATTTTATGTATAGATTTATACATTAAACAGGAATGAAATCAAACAATCATTACTTTATAAAGTTTAATATGTGAAATTGATCAAAATATTCACTACTACGGTAATGTGCTTATTTTTTCAGGAAGGATTTTTTTAATGAAAATGTTTAATTAGTTTTTAAATGATTCAGTATATGAAAGTGTACACAATACAAACATTGAATGCATGTACTAGATTTTTCTGGTGAAATTACAAGGTATGCATCCTTGATAATGCAGGGTTAACACTCACTGCACCCCTGAAACATTTCATAACAAAATTGAAGGCACAAACACAGTAATTTGATTGGTCTAGAGTGGGTTTCAGGGGAAAAAAACTGACCAATCACTGACTGATACACTCCTTTGAAAAATTCAAATGAGCAATACCTGCCTTTAAAGCTAATATAACACAGAGTTGTACCTCTTCCAGATTTGATGATATACGTTAAGGATCAGCTAGCCTTCAGCATCGGGTGCTGTGTATGAAACCTTCAATGTTGCCATGAAATATTTAATGGGTGCTAAAAGTAAAAGTGATCATAAACCCTGGGGAAAACATGATAATCTACTTAATATTATCATATCTTTCATTAATTCTTGCTCTGCATCTGATAAACAGGAGACTGATAAAAATTATAATTCTTTGTGATGTAATGTTTTAGCATTGTTATCTATAGTATTGATAATTCTTATACAATTTTTTACATGTATCTGTTGAATTTTAATATGTCAGTTGTAGTTGACAACCTCTAACTTCTGTATGTAAATATTGATCCCTGTTCTACAAAGTCTATATACACAATGCAATAGAAGGTTTACTTTACATGTGAATATAAAACATGAATTCTATTTATTAAATGTGTTGGTCCAGGCAGTATTGAACTTCTTACATTTTACACAGAAATTCAAAACCATGAAATAAATCTTCCTTTTTTTCCACAAAGGAATTTAAGAATGTGTTGTCGCTGGGTAACATTTCCCGATTGTTATTTATTATAGTGAAATAGTTGCCTGTGTAATGTCTTGAGTGTGTGTCAATGTTGTAGATACCTCATTGGTAGCTTTAACTAATTTTTGTAAAAATCATGTTCACAATATTCTTCATTTGAAGTAAAACGTATACTTATTTATTATCAAATGTTGTTGTTACTTCTTCCTCCCAGGGGCCCTGATATTGCAGTCCTTCAGAGTGATGGCCTACATAAACTTACATAAATAAAACTGGGAAAAACATGGCAAGCCAAGGTCCAATCAGTATACACCAAGAGGATAAATATGGTATACAGGAGATCTTAAAATTTGATAAAAATTGAGGTAGAAGAAAGAGATGCAACTCCTGGTGCCAGGTTTTCAAAAAATGACCAACATGTTTCTCCCTACTACACATCATAATATTTTTCATTAACCTAGTCACATGACCTCCATTGCTATTCAGTTTACCATGCCAGTGACATAACACACAAATAAAAAGTGCCCGGATGATAGCTTGCCTTGTAGATGAGGCTCCTTCTTATACCTTGCCTTTTATCAACATAATCTCGGTTAGACATTGCCAATCCTTGGTGTTTCTCAGGAAGTTGAGAAACAGATTGATCTACGCTGATGTTTTTGTGTCATTGGACAATTTGTCTGCTGTACATTCAGTAAGGCAGCCACCAGCTTCTGCAATGAGATCTCCCCTCAAAATGACCCTGGCTGTTTATAGAGCAATAAATACACCAAGCAAAAACAACATTCCCTGGCAGAGTAAATTATACATTCTGCAGTAAGTCAATGCTTGGTAATATTCTATTGCAGTTCAGTAAAAATTCTCTCAATAAGCCCACTCCTTTATTATAATTTAATAAAATAATAGACTTTTCTTCAATCAAAAAGGTGTTTTCTTTAATATTTCAGTATGGTGAGAAATTTCATGAAGTTTCTGATGATGGTAGTTTGATAAAATTACAGTTTGTACATATTGTCAGACAAGAGCGAAACTCTTAATCATGGTTTCTCTAAAAGTGTGTTGCTCGAAAATGTTGCTTATAAAATCAAATTATGTGAAATACAACTCATCACAAATAATAAATAAATTTAAAATTGATTTCACTGTAATATCAACATCTAAGTGTGTGCATATTGAATTTGTTATTTATAGTCAAAAGAGAAAAGACCAACCTATTAAATAAAAACACTGAAGTATTATAGGACAAGAACTGTTTTAGTTACAGGTTTACTTAACTATTTAAACATTTAGATATCAATAGATACTGTGGTGATGACAACAATTCATTTTTATCAGGCCTTTTGACCTTAAACTAGAACGCTGACAGGTCAGCATGGGCCCTACTATGTCGCAGAAAATCCCTCCTCCACCAGTTTACCCATAGACACACACACCTCGGAGGGTAAAAAGTATGATTATCGTCGGGACACTTATTTTTCTAATTATAGTATAAGTTACCTTGATTTTTAACCTTAGAAGCAGAAACACAATCCAGAAGCACTGTATGATGTTTGACTGTGATTGGCCAAAGCAAATTTGAGGTATCAAAGGGAACCTGATCTTTCTATTTATAGTAACAGTGACCTGAAAAGCAATCCCATGCATGCACTTTCAAAAAGGAAGCACTATATGCAGTTTTAGCTGGATTGGCCAAAGGAAACTCAATTTATCGCACGGAAACAAAAAAATAAACACTGGTTGAAATTTAATTATTTTCTATTTCTAGCAAGTGACCTTGACTTTTGACCTCCAGACATGTAAATCTAGATCAAACCACCACTTCCTTTGAGGTAACATTGGATAAAGACTGAGTGCATGTGGCCTAATCTTGGGAGATGAAAACTTACATACTCTAAGCAAGCACTTCCATCAAGGAGGCTTGGCATGAAGTATGAGGGCCATTAGCCTAACAGCATTTCAGATACTGTACAGAAACCAAAAAATGAAAAGACAGGCAGACAAGTTTATTACTATAGGGCACCCGCATCTGCATGTGGGATTCCTCTGCATTCAATCCCATATAAGATTAACAATATCCATGTTATTTTAGGAAATATCAAAATCTAAGAATTGTATGTAATGTTGAGTGGATTTAGAAACATTAACTACAGCACTACCATACATATTTATATTGACAAGTCTAAGCAATTGTAACAAAAGTATATGGCCTCAGAGTTGCTGTGCTAAAAAAGTTACCTTTTTTGCCATTTCTCATCAACAAAAAATCCTTTCTACCTTTATTATGCATATGATTATGGCACAAATTGTGTTTTTGATTTGCATGTAAGTTTCATTAAAAAATCCTAGGGTATGCTTTAGAATTATTGCACAAGAACCAAAAAAACACTCATTTAACCTTTAAACTTGAAATGACAGTCATGATCAACAAGGATCTATTTTGGGCACTATTAATGGGTTTGGCCATGATTTTAATTCTTGTTTAATTCTGTTACATCATAATGTAAATAGCCATACTCCCAATATGGTGCTCCACAAATATGTCCCAATACCTGCTTTTAGACAGACGAAAGTGAAACAAGCTGTTGTACATGTCCAAATAATGGACCCTGAACATGTTCTGCTATGTGTACTTTGCAATCATAACAGGTTCATAAAGATACAAAATCTGTAGTACTGTATGTACCAGTTACACGAAGATGAAACATGATAAATCCTCAGTTTCGCTGTCGTTTGTCAGGAAAAGTTTGTTTTGACAATGATGTCCGTTGTATCCCTTTTCCTACCACTTCAAAATGCTAATCCCTTTTCCTACCACTTCAAAATGCTAAGTATTATGAAAAATAAAAATCAGTTTGATCTGGTCCTAAAATGAATCACTTTAATTGTTACTTAGAACATGCACTGAAATATGACATAATTTGGACTGAAATATGGCATTATAAAAAAATGCGCCAAAACCCTTTAATATATGTTTTTAGTCCACATTTATTCTTAATGAAAATTACAGCTTGCTTTTTTTGTTACGGTTTTTTTGTGTCTAATTTGACATCTTACCATGATCTGAAGGTCAAACTGTCTAAATTACACATATTGAACACTTCTTAACCTAGTTAGGTATGTTTATAAGACGGACAACGTTTTATAACTGGTACAAAATGTTTGTTAATTTGTCGTCCTGATATAGCCCGGAGAGGGCGAAACCGGTTGACGGTTCAAAATAAATCCATATCAACTTACTCTGAAGCTGTTGCGATTGATTTCCTAACTAAAAATGTTTGATATATACATCTACCATATCAAATGTTTACATACATTACACAGTTATCCTACTTAGCAGTGCATACAAAGTTATAAATAACAGTCGTGCTATACAACGAAATACATCCAATCCTTATCGTATATATAAAATAACCGCTTGCATTCGGGACAAAACAATCATTATTAATGAGGTACAAACAGGTAATACTCCCTGTACTTAAACAGAAACATTCAAACATGCTTCGAAACATCAATAATAGTCAATTACTGTAATTATCTATACTGTAGAGGTGATCTGAAATTTAATGCACCTCGTGTAAAAGTTATTGTACTGATACACAGCAAATATTGTGAATATACTAATTCATTTTCTTATCTAATTTGCCCAAAAACTGATTATACACTAAAATTTGATTCCAGCAAAGTATGTATACAGTAATAAAGGTATGTTACTATTACAATGCTATATAACAGTGACATGTACCATTACAAGTCATTCAGCCAGCATACATTTCATTCATTACAACACAACACATTACAAGTATTACATTATTAAGTACTTCTGACAAAATATCTATTAGCTGTGAAAGATCAAAGCTCAGGACTAGGGAGGTGACTTAAACATTCATCTTTTCAAGGGCCTACAGACTTTGGGAAAATGTATAAAAAAAATCACAGGCATGAGTTTTTTCTAAGATGGTTAAACATAATGATGAATACAGTTGAAAAGAACTCCCTCTAATTAATATCAAGTTTTAGCTCATTATGACATTGAGAGTACGGCAGTGAATGAATATCTAGTTTTAATCAGAATGATAAGAACTTGCATTTTCAATAGACTTGTTAACTGTTTGTACGGGTTAGAATCATGTTATACATACCCTCGCATGTACAGAGGAGCTTTGTTGATTCGACCAAGTATGTACATACTGGTATAATATATCACGACCTTATACGTTCATCAATAAGCCCATGTCTGGTAAAAAGCCTGCCTAATCTACTGCAAGGTTGAGTGGAAATACTAACAAATGTTACACTCTTGTCCTGTTATGAGCCCATCTTCCTATTTGGAATCAGCAGCCATATGCTGGTCATCTGGGCAGGAGTTAGATGGTTTAACATTACACAGATCTATATAAGAGATGGTATTGTATTCATCTTTCGTTTCATGTCCTCGGATATCTCCATGTCGTCATCCTCGTCACGATAACCTTCGCTCACTCGTTCCTTACCTATGAGTGAGAGCATTGCTTTGGCCTCAGAGTTACCATCCAGTATACTTTTCTTCACCTAGAGGTAAACAGCATTCCATTATTATAGATTTTAATTCATGAAGACAGATTTTAATTCAAACATAAATTGTAATCATTTCTAAACATCAAAATAAGATTTCCTAGAGAGATCTTGGCACCCTCCACAGTATAGCCTGCATTGGTTCTATGTTAGTGTGATTCTTTCCTTACAGATTTCAGTTGCTTTTTCAAGGAATAATTAATTGATCAAGTGGTAGCATGTTTGGAATATCAAAACAGCATGTCGCCATCTTTCAGGAAGCAGTTTAATTTATTTTCTCACCATTTGTCTTAAAATTAATCTGTTCACCATTGTCCGACCTGTCTTAAAATTAATCAGGGACAAGACATCAAGAGCTACTAGAAAATGATTTGGATTTAAGCAGCTATAAAGAAAAAGTCACATATTAATATGACATTCCACTCAATATCACAATCTGACCAAACAATCAGGAAGTGATAATAAGTGGAATATACTTTAACCATTAACAACCAGCCATTGATTTTGTACTCAATATATTGTTCATAGTACCTACCTTCCCATTTATTAACCAACTGATAAACCTTGTCCATAATAAGGGTCAGAGCCTCTCACTCAATGTTCCACAGATTTATTACTTAACCAACAACTGATCTAATCCACAATAAATGGCAGTACACTTACCTCTTTGTCTTCCTCATCATCACTGTCAGCTTTGGGCTCTGGTCCAACCTCCCACACCTCCAGGGCAACCACCTCAAACTCTGGTGTACCTGACAACTGTGGACTAGCATATGTTGTACAACGAGGCTGTGCCTTACTATGGCCATAGTTAAAAGACTGGTCAATCCACAGGCCAAAGTAATCAAACTGACCACCCATGCCCTGCAAGCAACAATGTGAATTCACTAGTGTAACATTAAGCAGCATTAAACTTGACAACATTTGTGAAAAAATGGCTGCAGCTCTACATATACTGGCTGCCAACAATAAACTAGGATAATCAGCAATGCGATCATACAGTTACCGGGACAAAAAGATTTGCTTTGGGTGATCTTTTTTTCAAGGAAGTACTTATTTCAAAGTGCATGCCCCATGACAAGTACAATGAAAGAAAAAAATGTAGATTGTGGATGAAAATTACTTCCATGGTGGATAAGTTTCACGAAATTCTGAATGTCAGTGACCTACTTTTGATCCATTTGTTAGCATGATCTGATTCTGTATAAAAATTGACCTATTTAGCAATCTATTAATTAGTACCAGCTGATCCCCTGTCACAGTGACCTACTTATCAATCCATTAGAATGTATTAAATGAACCTTTATCACAGTGACCTAGTTAGCAATCCATTAATGGGTATCAGGTGGTCCTATGTCACAGTGACCTACTTACCAGTCCATTAGGTAGAGTCTGTTGCCCTTGGTTTAGATACATGTAGTTGGAATTGTAAGTTGTTGTGTTGTAAATTCCATATTGTGGAGAAAGGGTGAATAAGAAGTTATCAGAAGAGCCTGTAAATACAGAAATAGTTTCATGTTAAGTATGATGTATTTTGTATTTTTAAGATAAGTATCGGCATCATTAATAAAGAATATGATTTCAACCAAGCAACCAATCAATATTATTTATCTGAAATATCAATATAAAATGCTTTGTCTCTGAATGTCCTTCTTAAATATTTGGACACGGACATATGAATATAGCATATATATGTTGTAATGTCAAAGACGTGAAAAAGTCATGTTCATGACTACCAAATAGATATTTACATATTTTTCTGCATGAAGAGAAAGAACTCATGTTTAAAGTAATTTCATCGACCATATGATATTCTCTTTATATTAAAGAATTTCATTTCTTAAATAATAAATCAAATACCGTAAAATTTAGAGTTGAGTTGCCATTTTTCACTGGCATATCCCCCAAATACATGGCCAGTCTTGTCTTTAACAATGAGAAGGGATGGGCCCTTGTTCAACATGTGAGACACAAGTTGTGTAAAACTATCTCCAAACACACTGTTGCTGAACACAAGTCTCCATTCCGTCTGTAGATCTTTTGGTAGATTAAAGTTTAAAAACTTCATGGCATAAGGGTCCAGTATAGATTTGTTAGGTACCATGGTAATGGGAATGGGTACAAATGAACACAATCTCTCTGTTCGTGAATTCTCCTGTGTAAAGTCAAAAGATACAATAGTCACAAAACAATCTGTGATATATGTAAGGTAGAGCAAAAACTACACAAATATAGAGAAATACACATCACAGACATTAATCAACATAAGTAGATATCCCTTATTTTTACTACCATCTTTAACCGACAATAACCCCAGGACACCAACTCATTAACTCTGTCTCAGGGTAACGATGGCCTTACCACATGACAGTAAGTCCAGGAGACCAAGTCATTATCCATGTTTCAGGGTAAAGAAAGCCTATCACATGACAATAAGTCCAGGAGACCAAGTCATTATCCCTGTTTCAGGGCAACAAAGGGCTTATCACATGACAATAAGTCCAGGAGACAAAGTCATTATCCCTGTTTCAGGGTAAAGAAAGCCTATCACATGACAATAAGTCCAGGAGACAAAGTCATTATCCCTGTTCCAGGGTAAAGAAAGCCTATCACATGACAATAAGTCCAGGAGACAAAGTCATTATCCCTGTTTCAGGGTAAGGATGAGCATATCACATGACAAGTCCAGGAGACTTAATCATTATCTCTGTCTCCGGGTAACAATAGGCTTATCAAACATCAAATCCAAGATACCAACTTTTGATCCATGTCTCAGGGTAACAATGGCCTAATCACATGACAATAAGTCCAAGAGACAAAGTCATTATCCCTGTTTAAGGGCAACAAAGGGCTTATCACATGACAATTCTCCAGGAGACCAATTCATCATCTCTGTCTCTGAGTTACAATGGCTTATCACATGACAATAAGTCCAGACCAACTCATTATCTCTGTCTGGGGGTAATGATGGGCTTATCACATGACAATAAGTCCAGGAAAACAATTCATCATCTCTTTCTCAGGGTAAGGATTGGCTTATCATGTGACAATTTTCCCTGGAGACCAACTCATTATTGCTGTCTCAAGGTAAGGAATGGCTTATCAGGAAAATGTAATAACATTTGAAGAGCTTAAACAATCTGGTTATTACCAGATATGGCATCACTTCAGAGTGAATAAGGCACATAAGGAACTAGAGATACAGCAAACTTTAAATGCTGACACAATGTATGAATTGCACAGAATGTAATTTCTGATATTGCTAATATGAATATATCATGTTATCAGCATTTTAGACTCTCATTCAGACATCCTGTACATGTACTCACCAACATATCTTTATGTCTTATAAATATTTATATTTAAAATGCTTCTGTGCATTGTGTAATATTAGAATAATAATTAATAACTGTAATGTAAGGCACATTGTAGCAGTGAGCTAAATACTGAAACCATGAAAAAAACTTTTAAAGTTATATCCACGAATACTCACATCATTGCTAATTGGAAATAATGTCATGAACACAGCATCACACACTTGTAAAAATAGTGGAGATTTATGTAGCAAGTCTTCCACATCAGCTTCGGTGTAGGTGACATCAGCTGGAATCTTGGCTTCTGGTACTGGACCCTTCTTACTTAGCCCTGAAACAAAGTTAAATTTAGTAACAGGTCCTCATCTACATGGCTATCAGTTCCTTGGGATCGGCAAGGATCCAAATGAGGATACTAAACGGTAATCAATTAAAATCATCAATGCAAAGACAATAAAGTGGAAACAATGAGTAACAACAAACACCACTGAATTCTGGTAATAAATATAATCATTTAAGACATCCAATGTGTGATAGAGTTTTAAAAAATGTCCATCTTTGGAACACAGCCGAGTATAATTGCTCCAATATAATTCATGTGACTCGAACAACGGAGATTATTATGACCACCTGACTGTTTTCTGTCAAGAACAAAATTTTTGTAACAATTCATAACTTTCCCCAAGCGGTAAGAAACTGTCACTATACAAACCTTTATTAAACAGTTCCTGTAATAATCCAAAGGTAAATTCCTTTTGGTGCTGGTCAGTTTCTTGATCAAGTTTCCATTTTGACCATAGTGGTAGATGTTTAGTCACTTTTCTGTAAGCTTTGACCAACTGTAATACAGCCTTAAGAGAAAGATAGATGTATAAATTTTCATTCTAGTCAATGCGCCTGTATCCATGCTGTCAGAATAATTTATCTATTGTATGATCAAGCATGCATCATGTCTTAGGCTTCAAAAAGTGTTGTTTGAATTAAAATCAGGCTGGTAAAAGGAAAATAAACAGTCTGAAAATATTTGTGATGGGCTAACAGCAGAATACAATGATAAAAATTGAAGTGGATGTTTCTATGGATTATGAAATCACATGATCAACAAATAGCAATTAAACTTCCTTTACCTGAAACAGATCTTCTGATGAGATCTCTTTACTTTGAGAGCACAAACCCTTTAGAGCACTTGCTTTGTCTGTTGAGCTTCCACGGAATAGCTGACTGAGGAGCATATGAAATTGACGATAGGTAAATAAAACACCTTTGTGAGGACGAGATGCTAGACTGGATAAATATTTCAGCAGGTTTTCTGATAATTTGTTGTCCAGCAGTTTTAAATGATTCTGAAAAGAAATATACTGGATACGTTAATCAATTTTTATGAACATAAATGTATAATCAGTAAAAATTTGATGTGAACTAAGGATGAAACAGAAAAGGCCAGGCTTTTATGACTACAGCTCAATTAAACATCTTAGTGAGCTTCAGAAAAAATCTCTATATTTGAGCTCATTTGGAAGAATGTATCAGAGTTGCAAGACACGAAAATGTTTATAAGACATCAATGCTCCTATGCAAACCAGAACCTGATCCAGTGTAGAACTTGATGTTATGGTGCTAAATGATGGTAAATATGAACCAATTTAGATTACCTTAAGATATTGACTTAGAGGACAACAATGCAATGGGATGGACAGACAAGGGTAAAGCTACACCCTACCCCCCCATTCCCCACCGTTCCTGTTTAATTGGCATTCGTGTGAGGACTTGAAAATAAGATTCATCCTTGCCCAATAAGCATTGCTGCTCTAACCTCTGGAAACTGCATCCTTCTTTCAGTTCAGAGAATCCCTGGTTCAAATCCTTGCTTGTTACATCTACAGTGTTTTCATTAAAGAAATATATATCATATCCATTGTTGAATATGTCATCAGGTATGCTCTTCATTTAATAATGACATAAGTTATGTTCATTAGAGAACTAGTTATATCAGAGACGTATATATACGTCTCTGGTTTTATATAATGTGTGTGTATAAATATATGTGGTATATCTAAGAGATTTTTTAAATAAAATATATTAACTATGTAGTCTACTATACCCTTAAAACGTAAATACATGTAAAGAAAAATATAATGAAATAAGGATTTGTAAAAATTGTTATTTTAATATATCTGGCTTACAAGTTACAGTAATCATTACATACCTTGAACAAATCTTCTGAAACTGAAATTTCCTTATGTACTTGTTTTATAACAATTTGTTCTTCCACTGAAAATAATCCTCCTTCGACATAGTCGTCCCCATCTTTGCTCTCGGCGGTTCCCATTTCAATGTTTCTTCTAAACCATAATTTCTATGTCATTCACATGTGACAAATATTTACGTTGATAACAAACGGAAATGAAATTGCGAAAACGAAAGATGACCTCGCAAGGCCGGCAAAATTTACGCATGCGCATAACGTCATTCGCGGCCATATTCGAAAACATTCCCGCATGGAAAATGTGACATCAATTTACATCGAAAAGTTTGCCGGATTATTTTTGATAATTGAACCGCATTTAACACAGATCAACTGAGATGGCACTCCCACCAGAGAAGATCTCCGAGTTGAAGCAAATTATCCATTCGCAGCTTTCGCAGGTAAATAGATGTTTACAAGTTCCAGGTCAAAACATGCAGCAGCAAGTTCTGTCATTGGCATTTGCTAGTAATAGAGATTCTGAAGATGTAGTCTACTCTGGATTGATAATATATATTACCTGACTTTGTTTTTTTTTAATTTGCACCAAATTTCATTTCGTTTGTTGAGTTATGGTCTAAATTGTCTAGCAAAAACACGGTGAATATTAATTTACATGACACCAGACTGTCATCTTGACGTCGGTTCCGGACCGCATTATGTATTGCGGAGAGGTAATTATTGCGAACGGTATCTGAACAATTAGTCTAAGTTACTTGGAACTCAGATGATTCTGATTTCTAAAACATTACACGTTCCTGGAGATAAAAAAGAAATCCATTTAACATAGAATACGTGTATGTAACAAGTCTGTCTGCTAGCTAAACCAGAATGATCCAATATTTCCTAACATCCAAAAATACTCGCTCGCTTCAGTGGTTTGTCATTGGAGTTAATTATGTATATTATTTATTATAATCTTACTAATCAGGGTAGGTGTTGTGTACCATTAACCTACCCATGACAGGTATGTACTGGAGGTGAAAGCCTACAACTGTCAACACGGTTGTTGATTTCTTGGTCCACTGATAAGAACTTTGGTTTTGATCATTCAGATAATGCAGGTATTCAGAAGTAATTATCAGTATACTTCAATCGTTTTGGAAACAAAATTTATTTAGTATTCTGAATTGAGAAGGATCAATATTGGGGAGATTTTTATTACAATTATAAAGAGGATATCATTCTGTACATCACAATTTCATTTACTTTCAAGGCGTGATTGATTTTGAGAAGGATTGGTTTGGGAAAGTTTCACTGCACACAATTTTACGATTAAGGTAGCAGTACACAGTTTCTCGGTGTGGCCATGGGTGATTTTTTTTTGCTCATTTGATTACCCCATTATAAAGATTTTAATTAAAAATGAAAAAAAATACTTGCTAAAATTGGTCCTGTCATGTTAAAGTGGACAATGTGGGGTTTCATTTTTTCAGGATAATATTTTAGCTTTGTGTTGGAGATTACTATTTGGGCAGTCTCGAATCTGTGTCTACGCACCAAAAACTAGCTTTACAGGAAGTGAAATTTTCAAAGTGTTTACATGTGGTCATGTTATGAAGAATTTCCGAGTTGGAATTTGCTGAAATATAAGTACTTTGTTACCAAGACAGTGTTGTTGATTGTAAGATAGGTGTTTAGAATTAAATTTCTTCTAGAAAGTTGTAGTGTTAGGTTGGAATTAGCAGTATTTTTGCATTTTTAGCATTTTTTCAGTAGGTAACCATGACAATCAAATGTCAGAAATCAGAGGAAATTTTTTTTTTCACACAAATTTCATCTCTCTACTGTTAATGTAATTGTTATGTAGTTTATAAATATATATACATGTAATGATGTATTTTTCGTAACCAATCTGCTATACCTGTATATCTCAAACATGACAAATAATTTCAGGAAAAATGCAAATTAACTGTTTACTGCTACCTAAACATCCTCAGATATAAAATGTTATAAGACTCTTTCATTTGTTCGGGTGTAGGTTAGGGATATTCCACCCGAGAGGCCACAAAATATTGTAAAACCGTGTCTCTGCCTAGAGTTTTACCACATTTTGTGACATTCAGAGCAAAGTATATCATTCTTCACCCCAACATATCAAAGAATGTTTTTATCTAAAATATTGAAAAAAATACTAGCTTCAGAAGTCAACATTGTACCACCAAGAATGCCATATTACATGAAAATCACATTTTTATTATTCAATTAATCAACAAGTTAACTAAGATAATCAATTCTCTAAACCAAGACTTCCCAAACAAAGTTTGAAAAAAAAAGTAAGAAAAAAAACTTTTAAAATGCTACCATAAATATCCGCAATGATGAACTATAATAAACATGTGACACATCAATTAATGTGTTGAATGGCTAATTAGTTCAAAATCCTTAATCCTTTTTTTCCATACCATACGATTGTTTCCTTCTGAAGGTAAAGGTATTTAGAGGAGTATGCACATGTCCTAGTGTATGGAAGAACACACATTACAGCTTAAGAGTATAGGTTGTATGATGTCAAATAGAAGATTTCTCCATTGTAAATATTCATTTAAAGGTCAGTTGTAATTTTGTATGTGAGCTAATGCAATGATGCTTGCATGCAAAATTCATATTAAATATTGCCTGTCCTCAGTAATTTTTTAGGATTTTTTATGACTAGTCCAAAACACTTAATTCCAAAATTTTGATGAATCCTTATACAAAAAGATATAAGGGTCTTACTATTTGAGCGTCCCACAGGAAAAGCACAAGACCATAACTCAAATATCAGAGTCCCAAAAATCACTGTCCCTCATCAGTTTTATTTCCCAATAAGCAATTAGCTGTTTCTTATTTTATAATTGATAGTACCAACATGAAGGGCATAAATCAGTTTTGAATCATGCATTGAAAAAATATACAGATACGTACAAAAACTATTTTTAAAATGGATCTCTTTGTTATTTACTCTTCTAGTAATGCATTGGTTTTCTTATTCTGTAAACCAATGATTGTTACAAATTCATAATAAGTCCTCAATTTACTGATTCTGTTATATGTAACCCTGGTAAAATACTTGCTGCAAAATACTGCTTGGCTTGATTCCTAGTGGAGGCAATGAAATAAATAATCGCCTCTGCTACATATATGCACATGTCCTTTTGACCTTGGAACAGGAAAAGTGACCTTACAAAATCTAGAAAACACTATCAGAAAAGTGTTTCCACAATGAAGCATCACAGGCCTTACAAGGTTTAATGCTTCAGCTGTTTATAAGATATTTAGTTATAATTGGGGTTTTATTTTTCAGATGGATGTACAAAATCGTATTCGAGACATAATATCTGAATCAATTCAAGACGAGTATCCAGGGCGAATGGACCAGGTTGGAGAAGAAGAGTTACTGCAAAAGCTTAAGCAACGAGGACTGGTAGATGACATCCTCCAAAAACTTCAGTTCGATAGCAGTAGTGGAGGGGCAAACAATGGTCGTCCTGCTACGCACTTCCTGGACAAGGACGACAGACTGACACAGTTACCTTCTAAGAAAGGTAGTATTAAGAGAAGAAATTCTGTAGTTAATAAATGCATTTTATTGTTGTCATTGACCATAGATTTATTACTTTCATCATTTTGAACACATGTTCTTTAGAAATGTATAACTACTTACTTACAACTGACTGGTCAGCTCAGTATTTATCAGATTATTTACCAAGTTTTGAAAACAAAAGAAAAAATACAATAGACCTTATTGAAGACTTTTTTTTGTGAAGAACTTTTGTTGTAAATAAAGTTGATATGAAAAGTCATAAATTTTATCTTAAGAAGTCTCTTTGATAGTTTTACTTAAGCAAAAACCTCTGATTTTTTAATTGGAACAGATTTTTTTCAAAGGTGCTGATTACTCTAAAAAGAGGAAGTTTTGTTTTAAACACTGGCACTATATTTGGTGAAAAGGGAGAAAAAAGAATAGACAGTTGCATTTCTTTTATTCTGAAAACAAGATATTTAACCTAATTAAAAAATTTATTTTGTTGCTGTTGCAGCTAATATTGACCCTACACGACGCTACCTTTATTTCCACATTCGCAGTGGTAAGGCTTTCTTGGAACATATTGAAGATACTGACCCAGTTCCTGGGCAGGTAACCTCCCACTTCACCTTCTATCTGTACTTTCGTGGACAGAGATTTCGATCACGACCTGTGCCATGTGCCTGTGAACCCAGCATTGAAGAAGGTTTTCTCCTAGAGTTACATAAAGAATCTGCAGGTATTTTTTAGCTGAAATAATTTCTGTAGATTGTAAAAAATTAGAGATATACCAGACCATAAATCAAGAGTTGTGATGAATACATTTCATAATGTCATCAGCAAAAAGCATTATAAATGTTATAGTAATCTGCAAATAATTAACAAAAATCTTCAAATTCTGTTCAGGAGATGTGATTCAGTCATTTTCTTTCTTCATGGCAGGAGAAGCAGCAAAGATGGCAGACCCTTCATCCATGCTTTCTATATCTGACCCAATTCATCTGGTGCTTGTCAAGACAGACATGATAGGGGAGACAAGCCTGGTATCCTCACACTTCTTTGAATGGCGTCCAGTTCTTGCAGCATCAGGGGGAAGACTGTCCATGTCTTTAGAGCTGAAGGGCATTGGTAAGCCCTTGTATTCACATTTCCAGGTTCTTAGTTCCTAAGTTCATGGAACTTGGGTTGAATTTATAAGTCATGTGCTTTATCAAGGCTAGTCAGATAAGTTATTTGTAGAGATGGAATAAAACAAAGATTTATTAATTTATTTTATTTTATTTTTACATTCTTAACGGCCCGTCAACACATAAAAGTTCATTAGGGCCATCATACGGTAAAACACACAGCGATCCATAAGGAAATAGCATTAAACAAACCAAAAGGTAAAAGACAAATGTTAAAAATCTTAAATGGGTATGTTAACACAAAAGATAAAAATGGTACATCATAGTCTATTATATAGACCAACATCTTTCAGGTAATATAGAATTTTACAAATCTCAACAGTTTCAAAAGGGATTTTAGACATGTAATGTTATGATAAAAACATTCTCGAGTAAACAGAAGGTCACTGCAGTCCAATAAAAAATGTTTAATTGTAAATGACTCATCATATCCTATGCACCAAGGATTATCTTCGCCTTTCAACATATATGAATGTTTATGGTATGTATAACCCATCCGAAGACTGGCAAGGACAACTTCATCTTGGTGGTTGTCTCTATAGCCTGGAGACCATTCACCAATAACAGGCTTAACAGAGTGCAATTGGTTATTGGTATATGTATTCCATTCCTCCTGCCACTGAGCTTGTAAATTTGTTTAATAAATGGTTTAAAATCTGTAAAACAAAGTTTAAAAACAACAGGTGGTAGCGATAAAGCTTCATTTGCTACACGATCTGCTTTTTCATTGCTTGGTATTCCCATGTGCTCGGGAACCCAGCAAAAAGCAATTGCTAATAAAACGAAGAACCATAAACATACGTATTTTGGTATAATCACATGTTAGCACAATATTAATTTTTGGTAAATTAGTACAGTGATGGAAATAATGTCTATACAATGACTGCCACTTATGAAGAATATTCAGAAACTTATTAGTGCAATCATAATTTAGTGCAATACTTTCAGCATTGGAAAGTGTTATTAAAATAAGATTACAGCCTAAGTGCATTTACCTGATAAGTAGTTCAAATTATTTTGACATTCTATCGACTTTTATATATCGGCTTGGTGTGGATGAACTTCAGAAATCTGTCCCAATAAAAAGTGAAGGAAATAAAGGTTCTGTGCATTCAAACGATAATTATCATTCGAATGAGAACCCAAGCACATGTTGCTTATTTCCTGAACTTCTTATAGGGACAGAGTTGTGACATTCACTGACTCCAAGCCAATATTGATATCAATGAATTTTTAACCACTTCGCACTGGTGAGGACATTATACTGGAGATATCTTATTTTTTTTGTGCGATAAGTATATTTATTTTAGTTTAAATAGATAGTGTTTGTGTTTTAACTGATTTTGATTTTGGTTATATTCCATCTAATTGCCTCTGTTTTCAGGAAGTGAAAGTAAAGTGGCAGCTGGAATATTGGAGATTTTGTTGGAACTTTTCCCTAAGGTACAAAAATCTGTCGGTCAGGATATACTGACAGCACAACTGACCATGGAGAAAAATCGACAGGCAGAGAGAGAACGGCTATTTCTTGTTTATGCAAAGCAGTGGTGGAAAGAATACCTCCAGATAAGACCTGAACATAGCGATAGACTTGTTAAAATATTTGCTCAGGTAAATCATTTGAGAAAATATTGCATATCCTAGAAAAGTTCATCAATTAATTTCAGACTACAGGTTTATTATCTTTTTGGCTATCACAGTGAGCACTCTACTGTAACGTCATCTGGTGTATTTCCAGATTTCAAGAAAATTTCTGAAGTAAAATGAAATGTAATGTTTGTAGAATATATTGACATTGGTCCAAATTCTCGCTTTCTGTTTATTTGTTCAGGACCAAATTCAATTCAGTATTGAACTATTATAATTTGGTTACAGTTATATATTTCAGGTAAGTCTTTTTACTGCAGCTGTTTGGCTACAACTCTAATTGAGGGTGAATTATGAGAATTCTAATTCCAAATCTTTGTTTACTACATATCTATGTATGTTTTATCTTCACAACCAGGATGAGAATGCTACAAATCGACCTGTGTGCTCATTTGTGAAGCCATTAAGGTCAGGACGACTACTTGACACAGCACGACACTCTGCACGCTTTGTTAGTCTCATCCACCATGAACGAATACAAACACTTGGAGGAGGTGCCCGGACTGAACAGTGGACGAACATGCACGCCTTTCTGTGTCGGAACAAGGGGGTAAAGTTTAATGTTTAAAGGAATGAACATGATTGTCCTGTGTAAGAATAAGGGAGTGGAAATTGATATTCTGATGACCTTTCTAAATGTAATATTATAATGATTTACAATTAGATCATAATGGCAGTGATTGAGTTCTTCTGTTGCTTTCCGTAAAAGGAAATGTTATCCAGTGAATTTGCCCATGTAATGTATGGTATATATGTTACTATAGTAGTAAAGGTGTTAGTTGTTTGATGAATATATGAATCAAAGTCACTTGAACACTTGAAAATGTTAATATGAAGTTCGGAAAAAAATTCAGAAAATAAAGAAATGTATGGATTTGATTTAAACTATGTTATAAGTCATGTTTATAGATATTCCTCATCTATTTTCAGGACACAGAGGACCACGCTACCCTACTCTGTAGCCTCCTTCTGGGATTTGGCCTGGATGCGTATGTTTGTGTGGGGACCAAAGCTAAAGGTGCTGTAGTAGCTTGGGTAATGGCCATCACAGTTGACGGCCAGATCACATTCTGGGAAAGTCTGAATGGACATAGGTAATACCTATATAATCAAAGACCAGTTAATGATATATATATATGTATTATACAGTTCAGTAATAAAATGAGTTTTTATATTTTTGAAAAATAAACATCCGCATGGAAAACAATAAATAAAACAAGATGTGTCAGAGTTACCAAATGCTATTTCTGGAAATGTTTTTAAAATGTTTGACCACCTGATAAATACATTGTATTCATGTTGTGATGATTTTCAAACATATATTTCAGATACTTGCATACACCTATTGATCCAAATGCCCCTCCACTGGACAAACAGCACCGTCCAAAGTATCCCTATAAGACTGTAGGTTGTGTATTCAACCACCAGTCATTCTATGCCAATAGTCAGGTATGATATCACAAGTATTTTGTAGTAAAAGTTATCCCATTCAAGTAGATCCAAAAAAAATGATGACATGCATGCAATAATATCAAACAAATTTGAAAGACAACCACAGTGTGTATTTCAATTTTCAGGTCTAATATTCTTGAACCAGTCTTTGTTACCTGTTTCTTAAGAAAGCATCTCTTTCCATATTGATGAATATGATTGCTTGTAGAAAACTTCCTAAAGATTTACAATCACTATTATCTACAGGCCACCTATCTGTAAAGTATTTTGTTTGTTCTCTATGTAATGCAGTTCATAGTGTGTTGAATCTGTAAACAAAGGCAACCTGTGTATAAAGGCCACTTTTCTCAGCTCCAGTGAGTGGCCTTTTAGACAGATTTGACTGTAATTTGTACAGACTCTGATTTTACCTGAAAAATCTTTTTCAGCCAATGGACTCTGTTGAGGTTTGTGTATTTGACCTGAAAAATGAGTCACGATGGAAGTCCATGTCCCAGGATGCCATTCTGTCAGTATGTGGACCTGGAGCCAGTCCTCAGTGGCCTTCACTGCCACCTCTTTGTGCCTCTAATCTAGACCCATCCCTCATCAGCAATGACCTTGAACAGCAGCTTCGTGTTCTCACTTATGAACACAGACAGGTTGGTGGAGTCAGATATTCCATTTCAGTGGAAAGCATGTTCTTTGTCAGTTATAGTAGTATCCTAAAGTTTAAATGATCAGAGAAAACATTCTCTTTTGAATGTGACAGTAGCTTCCTTACCACTAGATGACCAGGGTAAAAATATTCTTGATCAATGAAAGTAGCTTCCTAACTTTTAGACGATTGGGGAGAAGATGTTCAATATGTTTGTCTGGTGAACAGAGCAAAAGTTAGTTGTGAAAACTTTGTTGTCAGTACTCGCTTCAGATACAATATGTTGTATTCTACAGTCCATTTTCCTGTCTATTAAATTGCATCAAATCAAATGACACCTTTAGTCTAGAATTTGCTTTTCGGAAATTATATACAGATCTAAAAAGATGAAATTAATTTGACAATTTCAAAGGTATGAGGGGGTGGGGTGGGGAAATTAAAAAAAATAAATATAGCTCAGCTGTGAAGAAGTGATTGTGATTTTAACAAGACTTGATGAATTTACAGGACCAGGGTTTAACAACAGCTTGGGATGACCAGCTCAGCTACCTCCTCACCCCAGCATTATCAGCATATGAAATGGAGAGAATCACAGGTATACTCTATGTTGATGTCACAATATAAATCAGTTCTATTGTCAAACAGCAAAGTAATAATGATTGAGTTTCAGTCTACACTGTCACTTCAAATATTGGAAAGTATGTGTTGTATATGCATTTGCCTTTTGAAATATGTTATTAGTGTATAAATATTTTTCTTAATTTACAGGACTTATAGCCGGTAATGAGGAGTTTCAAGACTCCATCAAACAAGCTGTTCCTGATGGTCATACATTTAAAGGCTTCCCAATACAATTTTCTCATCGCAATGCACGCAAGGCGTTTGTCACATGTCTCAAGTAAGTATTACAAACCAATAATTTGCTTTATGTCTTCAACAGATGCAATGAAACAGTAAATGTTTTTTTTTTTTTTTGAGACTTTTGTTTTAGCTGTTTTTGAGGAAAGAAGAAATCCCAGAAAATAGATACATCAAAAAATGAAATCAATAATGACACAAATAAAAAAATCTTTTTGTTTTAAGATTTCGATATAACCTTGGAAATTTGAATGACCTTGACATATCTATCAAAACCTATTGTAACACTGATTTTTGTTTCTCCAGGTCCCCAGTCTGTGAGGAGATTATAAATTGCCGTGGTGATCATGTCCGCCTGGCAGTACGAGTGCGAATCTATCCTTATCCTGAATCTGCGTGTGCCACTTGGGTCATGTTCGCTGCCAAATATAAATCAGTACTGTAATCTGGGGAAGCTCAAACATTTGATGGACTGTTCAGCCAATTAGTGATTAATAGATATCTGATAGTGAAGTATGCGTCTATGATTGTAGAGATTACGGAGACTGAAACACAGCTCTGTATAATATAGAACCTGAATATTCTATGTTCTGATGGAGACTTAGTGAAACCTCGATATTCTGATGGAGACCTATTCAAAGCTGTATACAATATAGATTGTGAATCCTCTATATCCTGATGGAGACATATTGAAACCTCGATATTCTGATGGAGACGTATTCAAAGCTGTATACAATATGGGTTGTGAATCCCCTGTATACTTATGTCTTATTCAGTGTTGTATGCACATAGAATCGGAATTCTTTATGTGCTTGGTCAATGAACAGAGAAACTTAACCAAAGCTGTGTCCATTATATATCACAAATTCTATGCATTTCAAAAAGCTGAGTTAAACAGTAATTAAGGGATACAGTGTACAATCGGATTTCTGGATGAAATAGTTCTATACAATTTAGATCTTTATTTCTGGATGCTCCAGTTTCTGCATATCATGTTGGATCTGAATGCATGTGCTCACAAATCTATCATAATGGCTGTGTTATTTTATATCAGAAACGTGTTGGTGAACAAATGATGGCTTCTTCATGTGGATTGACTCCAGTGTATAAGAGATTATGTGACTTTTACATGAAGCATTGAATTTGTTGACTACATAGTGCTCCTTTAATTTTATATAGAAGTTGTGAATTGATGAGCAAATATTTACTGTAAGTACTACTGAATTGTGAGAGTCATGTAAGGTTGTGTAAGGTGTTTGGATGCTACATTAGACTCTTGGGTGGTTGTGTGAAAAAAATGGTTTAAAACTTATGTTATTATTATGATCATGCAGTTAGTGATGAGGAGAGTCTGATTGATGTTGAATAGAATAATCACATAAATGCTGTGATCATATTTACCTGTATCTTATGTTGTATGAATTATACCTGGAATTAATCTACAAATATGTGATAAAAACTATATTGTATATAGTATACATTACCTTTAACAGCACAGCTAGCTAGCCACTTCTGAAATTTTTGTTGATGTTTGAAGAATGGCATCTGTCTATAATTAGTTAGTTTATATACAATGGCAACTCTGCTTTAATTCTTTGTAGTGTAGAATGACATGATTGGAAAATATTGGCAAAATGGTAACTGTCCAGTCAATCAGAAGATGGCTCTTTTGAATGTCTTATCCTGAACAGCATCTGTAAATTCACTTTCTTTGACAGGTACTAACTTCTGTAATTTCTGTGTCTCAATTTGCAGGTGACTTTTGGGGAAAAGACTATAAAAAAAGTTTGAAGCTACACAAAAAAAATAATTACCCCTGTTTAAAGTTTTCATTGATAAACTTCTGGTGAATTTATTTTTATTATGAAATTTACAAAAGTAAATTGAATGCAAATGAAAGTTGCTTTACAGTATGCAGATATGAGAGAAACATACTGTCAAGCATAAATTGGATGTTCTGTTATCAGGATTAAAAATATGATAAAAGCTTGATTGGTCCTGATGTCAGTACCTATCTGTCATGTATCCTTATCACTGATGCCCAGAAATGTAGATTGTAATTCTCTAAAACATAGGAATCTCCTGATCCCATGACCACGAGCATTCTTCTGAGTGGGGCTTGTAACAGAATTCACATTTTATCTGTTTAAATGGTACTTAATGTCAAATGTTTAGCATGGATGCTCAACAGGACAGCATTATTGGTACCTATGGTGTCTATGTAATTGTTAATGCTGAAGTACATGCACATCTCCCAGATCTGGTGATAGTTATAGCAATAATATCAAGATGAAACCTATTCCTTCTATTTTGTTATCTTTATTTTTTTGTAAGTTCAACATTTTATGAAACTGTTATCAATTAAGTTGCAAATTAGTCAGTTTGATAGGTGAGTGAAAAACATCCTCATGTACTTTTCAAATAAGCAGATAATTTCATTTAGTAATGCAAAAAATGAACTTTTATTTTTATACTTTTTTCATATTATGTTGGTTCATTAATTTTGATGTTTTAAAGAAAATGTCAAATTGAATTTTTAATTCATTGATGTTAAAAGTGCCAGTTAAAGAAAGAATAAAATGTAATAACATTTATATACAAACCTGTTTTATTAACTCTCTCTGCTCTATGACCAGAGGAGCTATGTGGTGTCCTGTGTCTGTCCTTTTCTAAGAGAATTTCTTTGTCACTTCTTGAATAGATGGTGACAGCCAGAACCCTTATTAGTGAGCAGAGCACATTCCACTGTGGGTCTTAATAAAAAATTGTCCTATGCTAGACTCAAAACCTAATTAATCTTGTTTTTGTTTCTCATCCTGAAAGGAAAAAATGAACCACGAGACAACTGTCACTGATGAGTTATTTATAATAAACATGATATTTGAGCCTGTGCCGTATCTATGAATTTTCTATAGTGACTCTCCCTAACATCTTGTGATCACTATTTCACCTGTTTGGAAAATCCTGTTTAAAGTTAAGCAGTGATTAATAAGTCACTTCTCACCAACATGGCATAATGCTGTTAAGTCTCTCTTTCTCCACTTCTAACTGAAAAAGGACGAAAAAGGGGGATAACTGCCAAGGTGTTGTGAAGAATTGTAGGACAAAATAATCCAGAATTAATCTTATTCACTGTACCCTAGTACCGCCACTATTGCCAGCCTCTAGAGGAATCCCCCAAGGGAATGTATTATGGCCAACTCTCTCCCGTTACTCTGTAGACCAGCGATTTCATTCTCTTGACAAGACATTTTATTACTTAACTACCCATCCAGGTTTGATATTGTGAGTTAAAAATGTACAGACTATATGTATATCGGTATTGCTTATTGTTGGGTAAAGGATGTATTGAAGCCTTTCCATCACCATTTCAGCTCATTTTACCAGACTGTGATATCAATGCAAACGGGTCCGTTTGTTTCGATTTCAGAGTAGTCTCAAGCAATCGCGCAAGAATAAAAAAAAAAGCCCAGAAAGCAATTGACACCAGTTCTGTGAGAAAGTCTTGTTCAAACATTATTACCCATTTAATCAACCAGTCAATTTGAAGCCACATCATATGAAGCAAAAATTGCTCCCTGCAGCACTCTCGAAACCATCGGAAACGACTATAGGCATACTCAACCTACCGTTATTAATGAGTGTACTCACATTATCTTTAGTGAAATCAATAAAAACTCACAATCTTTTGAGGAAATGAATATTACTCGTATTAATTTTGACATGAATTAATATTGATCGCGTTGACTTTGGTGTGAGTGGATATTACTCGTGTTAACTTTGGTATCAATGAATATTACTCGCGTAACTTTGACATGAATGAATTTATCTCGCGTTTTCTTTGGTTTGAATGGATATAACTAAAGTCGAGGGTTATATATAAATGTACTGAACAAAAGTGCTGAATTAATAATTGACCTGGCGTAACAGGTAACTCGAGTCGCGAAATACTGGAAAATTGATTGTTTAGAAGAAAAATATATGCTGTACGTGTATCTGAATGATATAAAACAAAATATATTTGATTACCAGTTGTAGATGTAGTTGAATTCCAAATACATATATAAATAATCAATATTCATGTCCCCGGAATTGAAACACTAAAGCTGCAATAGTGTAAACACAAACAGGTAGTTGATTGGTTCTTTAAACAGTTTTAATCATTCATTTCCTCCAAGAAAACATCTGCGATCTTATTCGGTACACATACAGAGTATGGCGCTGTTCTATTTCTGTTTGATAAAATGTTTATCCTTGATTCACACGAAATACCTCTATAAGATAACCAAGGTCCACATTTTATAAAAAGAAATTAATCAAGGAAACTGATAGAGAGCACGATTGTGCGTGTTTTATTTTTTCTTTTTTTTTTTTTTTCTTATTTCAATCTTCAGCCTTAATTACATACTCACATGGCAATCGAAGCCGTGGGAATTTTTTATCTTCAATACTAACAACGGCAGCAATCACAAGCCCAACGGTAATGATATAAGGAGGCCGGTTAGGGTTACAAAGCACGATGGAACGAGAGCAGTTGGCGATCTAGAGAGCGATATCACGATGGCTATCGAGGGAACAAGATCACGATGGCGGTTGAGGGAACGAAATCACAACGACGATTGAACGAGATTTCGACGGCGATTGAACAAGATCACGACGGCTATTAAACAGGACCGCGATCGCGATGGAACGAAGAAGGTTGCTATCTGGCCCTTGATCCTGAACATGAACTAGGCCTTAACCGGCCACCTTAGTAGGAGGGAGAGACAGCTTTTCATAAATAGCAATGACAATACAACTAATTCCCTATTGTAGTAAAGGGAAAATGAAATGCGTATTTCGAATGTTTGATTTGTAAATTCATAAGCAAAATAATACTCTTTTTTACGATGCATTGTCTTCATAAAGACACAGAAAATCAGAAAATCGGGGTTGAAAAATCGTAGCCACATCTTTGGGACTGATAAAAATAAATTTTAATGCATGGGAATGTTCTGCACTCGACGATGTACGTCGCACTCCGTCCACCGTCACAGGAGGGGTTTGCTTCTGATGCAGACTTTTCATTTCATTTCATTACAAGCTTACTTGCTTTGAGATCAATCTGGTGACACAGCAAGCCGATGTACCACGACGACGCTCTGCTTTTGTAGACATTCAACAACGACGCTCTGCTTTTGTAGACATTCATCAACGATGCCGTGATAATGATACGATGGATATTACTGATAAATGGAAGAACGTAATGACGTATAATGTCGTCATGGTAACGCACAATTGCCAAATTGCATCTCACTTTACCCATATGGGTTCTTCTAGGTGTTGTAGTGCCACCACAAGCAACAATTCCGAACTGATGACCCTGAATTACACACACATCACTGTAAAGTTCTTCCAATCGGCGGTACGCTCGAACACTACTGTCATTGTGAACTTTGGATTCGTCTGTGAATAGCTATTCAGACCAGATCAGTTCCCGAATCGCAGATGTCTTCTGTACTATGCCAAGTGCTTAACTCTTTGACGTTGAAGCAAGACTAGACCAATAGCGGGACGTCGCGGTCTATCGCATTCCGTTTCAAGTTCTGTAACTGACCCGGCTTCTAGAGGTCAATGAAGGGGATTGGAACCGGCTACGCAAATGCGACGTCCGCACAGGGATTGAAACGAATTCTCAACACTACAATACATAGATATAGACTGTGGGTTGGGAATTTGTACCAAGTCACTTTGGACGAATCTTGCCGACGGGACGGACTTCCTGTTCGAGGGGGGTCCCGTACCATGATCCTTTCCTGTGAAAACCTCTCAACCCAAACTATCTTGCCACATTATTCTGAGATTTTTCATTCTCCAATAGCAACGCAAACGTCCATATTCATCCTTACATGCCATGTCCTAGGAAACATTTCCCGGAAACTATTACTTTCTGATATAGTGAATAGAATACTACCAACGTCTGACCTCTCTTGATGTGCGTTGAAAATGAAATGAAAGTTTTTACCAGTCGAACACTATTTTTACTTGTGCAATATTCGAGTGTACCGGCAAACATGTAATCGACTGGTAGCCGTCATCTCCAATATTACATTATATGGCCTCGAATTTAAAACTGTGACATGGTGTTTCGATTTTTACAATTGTAAAATTTTATTTTGAACTCAGTCCATTAAGTGTCAAACAAGAGATGACAATTTTTGTACAGATCGTGGCGCAATGTGTTATTTCCGTTAGAGAGGGCAAGTGATAGTTTCATCTGAAACAGAATATAAGGATAAGAAAAGATCGGAAAATAATTTCGTCCGAAATAAAATGTTACGTGTCAAGATTCGCGCTAATATGTCTGCTCTAGGTAAAGATACAGAGAAGACCTGCACACTTTGTACTACATTTGCTAATACCGGCCAAACTGCTGGCAATCGTGAACCCTGCGACGAACGTCTGCCGTTTGGAATGGCGTTGTTCCTCAGTTTTTCATTGATAACTAGTTCTATTTTGGATAATCTGACGGTGGCACGCAACAAAATATGCTATTTCACATTATTGGTACAATGCATGTTTTGTCTTGGCGGTGAGCAGTGTTGTAAAAGTTGTGTGGGTATTTCGAGCACTTTGTATTATGGGACGAGTCAGAACGCACTCAGGGAAGAAACAACCATGATTTAAAGTGTAACAAATGACGTCAAAGATGACGTCACAGTGGAGGTCGCATCAAAGCCTTTACTTAGACAGAGATGACGCTGAAGCTAGACCTCATTACGATGACTTTCTAATCATAATAATAAGAAACGGGGTAAAAACAACGTTTTGGGGACTTAATTACACTTAGCATGGAAACCAACCTTTCAAATACAGAGACATACTGTGTGATAAGGGATGTCTCGATCGCCAATCAATATGTTCAGTGATAACTAGTTTTGTTCTTTCGTGAACACTAGCAGGGCTACCATGTAAATAAACAGGGCTTTATTGGGATTTATAGTCAAGCTACAAGAAGAGTTCATATAATTTATATTCTCGTATTTCTTCTAGGCCGGTTATGTGTATTTGAATTATTATTTTAGTACTACTAATTGTTTCATAAGTGTACAAAAGACACAAATGAAAAGAACTTAGTAGTTCAAAGTTTTAGATTTCTGTACTGCAGAGCCAAACAATGAATTAACCTGCACCATACAGCCATTTCGTCCTTCTAGGACTCGTGATGCAAGTATGCAATGATGCAAAACGCAAAAACTTTGCTGAGGGGACGTTTAAGAAAATTCCGAAACGATCAAACTTCAGATATTTTAAAATCTAGATGGGGCGATACACTAACCCCGTAATTCAATAAAAGTCATTTTTATGTTCTATAGTTTAAGAAGATTGTCATGTACACGTGTATAAAATAACACGTGGCGCTTAGGTTGTGTATTTATTTACGTATGTCGACAAGTGTGATTTGTGCTCGAAATATTTCATTTGTTCATTTCTTAAAATTAAGTATTCATTCTGTTGATTCGCTTTAACTTTAATATACAACAGATTAATAAAATGGATTGAATGTCATAAATACTACAAAATACAAAAAATAGTATCTAAAACCGTATGCGTATTCCAAATTCCCGTATTCCATGTTAATACAGAGAATGACCAAGAGAAAAGCAAAACCAAATTCACTCATTTCTGAATTTATTAACATTTGCCAGAATATTCTTGATGCTCATTTTTCCTAATTTCGGTAAAAATTGTTAAAAAAAAACTACCATATTTATTAAGTATCCTTATTTTATAGACCTTTGATCAGTGTTACTACCGATGAAGGGAAGGTGTGAACGACACACTTACTATAGTATTGAACAAAGTATTGATACTATTGTATTGAAGTATTCAAATAATCGAGTCAAGTATACAACGACCTCTGTGATTGGTCGGGGGCGGAGTTTAGACAACCTGAATAGTTGATCTGACACCCAATTTGTTCCGGTAGGCGGAGTTAATGTACACTATCAGTTACATAACAAGTACTAAGTAATCGCTGGAAAAATGTCCGACGACGGCAACAGTACGCAAAATTTTCTTCGACGAAATTATGTCCGATACGAACGATATGGGGAATCCTGTTTTTGTACAAGGCGATGTGGTTGTGATGGATAATTGTGGATTCCATCACCATAGACAGGGAGAGCGCATTTTAAGAAATATGCTGAAAGAATATGGCGTGTCCCTGGTTTTTCAGCCGCCTTATTCCCCGGAATACAACGTAACTGAATATGTATTCAATGTCATGAGACAGAGGCTTCGGGCAAATATACCCGACTTGTGTCAGAATTTCTGGAACTTGCAGTAGTAAATGCTCTAGATATTCCGCCCAACCAACTTCAAAGTTTTTTCACATGTTGCGGATATGTATAATTTTCGATGGAAAGATAAAAAATAAAATAAAAAATATATGGGACCACAGAATTCCTTTATTTTTTAATGCAGTATGAATTATCGGCATATATCAGGAGGTCCCAGGTAATTCGTAATTCTTTGTTACATATAATAGAGCTTGGGCTTAAACCGAAATATTTTGAGCCAACCCTCCCCCCCTTCAAAAAAAAAAATAAATAAATAAAACTAGTACAGAATGACTATGTGACTACATTCACTGTTAAGATGTTATGAATTCTCCGGTCCCAGTGATCTAACCTGTTGATATATATTTTGTACGTAAATTAGTTTAGTACTGAGTAACTTTCGTTTTCTCGTTGTACCATCGATAGAAAAGCAAAGTATCATTGGGTGTAGAACGAAACAAATGGGACAACCCAATTAGGTCTGATCTGAAGCCACCTGTGACTTGGACTCTTCCAATTAACCTCTCGCGACAGTCGAGTGTTTGTAAAATGCCGATGTCTGCACAGTATTTTTTCACCTGGCTCCACCCACAATCGATCTAGACTTGGCTCTGCCAATCAGAGAGCTTGTTGCATAAATTTAAGGAATTCGATTGGTGAAGTACTTCAATACAATACTATCAATACTTTGTTCAGTACTACAGTACTTGAAACGTTCACACCTTCCCTTCATCGGTAGTAATGTTGACAGACTACAGAAAAACTATAGTTTGTCAACATTAACATGGTTTATAATGAAAACAACCAGTTCTTCATTTACCTTCAAGTCTGTAAACATTGAAATTGTTAAATTAGCTATTCATTGTTAGATCTGTAAGTGTTAGGCGGGCTCGAAGAGTAAGTGAGCTAATGTCTTTGTGCAATCCGTCTTTTGTTGGTCGGTTTTCCGTCCAACGTCAACGTTTCCCTTCAAATGACTTCGTCTCAGTATGGCGGCACTGACATCTGGCAAGTAGCTAGCTGAGACGATGTGCTATTATGTTTGTTCAAATGAGTTATCTTAACCCATTGTCAGAGGGTCAACTATATTTAAAACATTCAAAAGACTTCTAAATAACTCCAATGCACGTAGACATAATATTTCGTTAGCAACACGCTGTGATGAATTGCACTGTCTCTCTTTCAAAGTCTCTGGCGATAATTGTATGAAAACTGTAAAATTAACTTCTCAGTAACCAAAAGCACATGGGTATAGGACTATATTTGGTCAGTGTGTGTCCAAAATAAAAGATTGTATTCTATATCGTTGTTTGAGAGTTTAAATGAGTTTCAAAAATTAAAACAATTTCTAAAGTCAAGGGTCATAGACAGATGTACACATAGTAAGTTGCACGGGCTGGGTGTAGAGCTTTTGATTTTGCTCACATAGTGACCTTGACCCACTTTTAAGAACTTAGAGGTTAGAGATACTGTAATTCTGACTTTTTATACACTACAAGAATCTCTTGATCTCAATAGAGTTGACACAAACTTTCTTCAATGGCATGACTTTATCTTTGAATTCCTGATGGTGAAAACATCCCAACCTTTTATACCGCTGCTTCTGGAAATAGTTTTCAGAAATAAAACGATTCAAAAGACTTCTATAAATTTCTTATTACGCCAGCACCAGTGCCATCAGGTGTAATTTGCTTTTCCTCCCTAGACAAGGCAAAAAAAAACTTTACTTACAGACGGCAGACAAAATGAAACCTTGCTGTGCGGGAAAGCTTGGTTAAAAGGTTAATCCAACGGTGACTGTTTATGAAAACTGTAGATACAGACCTATACATGCAAACTCACGTTCGGTAAAAAACATCATATCATGTGCTCACATACAAAAAGTTGAGTCCATGCTCGTGCATAGTGAAGATAGATTTATTGATAAGGTAAACTTAACAATATTCATTATTCAGCTTTTCATGTCCTATGGGTAACGAATAACACGTATATCTTTTTAACACTATTTAGGGAGCCACATGACGTCGTATGGCCAATCGTTGCTTTCTTTTGTATTTAGAAGTTTCTTGTCCTTACTTGGAAAATATGGCGCGAAATTCAAGTTTCCCATGTACCTGATAATGTCGTCTCCAGAAGGCATCATACGGTGAAATTCCCATTCCATTAAAACTCCTATAACTTTTGTTCTTTTGAAAAAAGTTTTTGATTTTTGTAAGGCTTTGTGTTCCGATCCCTCTATATCTATCTTAACCAATACCTTCGGGAAGTCACGAATCACAGGTAAATCTAGAAGATCATCGAACGTTACAGTGTTTACGGGATTCAGCCAGATGCCGTTGACTCTTGTCTGTTTTAATGCTTTAATATGTTTCGAGTCCATATCAACAAATGTTCCTCCCAGATTTCCGTCCTCAGCTCCAAGGTTTACTGTCGCTCTCTGATTGGTCATAGCATTATGTACTATGGTAACTCTGTCGTGCAAATTCCCTACATCTACGGAAGCACATAAGGGTTCGATATTAAAATGTAACGCTTCAACTGAAATAACTTTACGACCATATTGAGCAATCGGCAATGTATGCACACCTATGTTTGCACCGATGTCGATGAAATTTGCTTCCGGTTCATTTTTCAACAGATGAAATAACACATTGGATGTTTCCGGTTCGTACGTATGCTTCCGTTTTAGAGTGGCGGATATAGTTTCATCGAATTTTGGGTTATGAATGAACATTGACGTTTTCCCAGCAGGCGACACAAGAGTTGTATTCCAAAAATCCGGACACTCTCCACAAACATCAGAATTTCGCCTCCATATCCCATTTGACATCGTAAACACCGAATATGGATACTTACGAAAGTTACGTCCACAAGTAGGAGTTGGCTTGTAGCGGAGACATAAGTAATGAACAAAACTCGATACTGAAAGGACAGTTGTTATTCCAAACATAACACGAAGTGTGACACGTTTCCTCATCACTGTTTAGAAACCCGCAGTTATACATACATAAGACAAACTATAGACAAGCAAACCAACCGCTCTAAATGCTTTACAACCACATCGGTATCCTCGTCTTTATTCTGTCCACATAAATCTCCACCATCTGCCTTCCGAGTTTTTGAGATATGCAAGAACCTTAGTTCGGACGCTGTTGGTGTTTGCCTGATATTCCTCTGTTCTAAATGGAAGGAATGGATAAAAAGTAGTTTGGTTCAAGTGCAGAAAGGCTAATATAACATGTTGTAAAAAGTCACAAGTTTCGTTTGAATTCTGCAGGTTCGCTTTAACTTAACTTTTAACAAACTTGTGCAATTACGAAATCTTCAATCCAAATTATAGTTCAACTGCTGGTAGCAATCCACCTTTGTTCTCGAGAAGACTTAGAACTTCATACATGGCAATGATTAAAGTAACAAGTTTTCCAGGATAAAACAAATTATGTACGGCCCTTGTTCCACGCACTGAGTGTGCTAATTATTATCGACCTTGCGGGTGAATGACTAATTGGAAATGGGCATGATGGAATGGTAGATCACGTGCTTACAGTAGAATTTGATTCCCTTCGTCTATTGTTCGATTAATTATGTATAGGTCTGAACTCCAGACAACGGTAATTTGGCTAAGTATGGACTGTTTGGGATAAAAAGCAGCGCATAAATGACAATACCCGTTGCACATGTACGTGAGTTGTAAAGGACTGGGTGTGTAAATAGCAACAAACTTCGCGCGTTCAAACAAATCGTAGTCCCAAAGGGATACTCTGTTTCACGTGAGTTATGTAGATAGGGATTCGGGAAAGGAGAGAAAATAGTCCAGATATAAGGCACTCCATTTTCTTTAAAATCAATAAAAATGAACTCGTTATCTGTAAGAACGATGTAACCCCTACAAACCCATAGAAGTTAACTATTTACATCTTAATTTGATGTATTTCCCTCAAATAACCGACATGTATAAGCTGATAGCACAACTTATCTACAATGGGCCATCCGCTGGCATGCTCCGAAAAAATTGTGTCGGCACATTTTGGACGACCTCGCCTTATAATGTTGAATTTAATTGAATTTCAATCAATTTTATTGCATAAATATTACACAATAGGATCGGACGGAAGTTGTCATAACTTATTTTGTCCTCTCCATTTACAATTTTACATATGCACAACTTAGCAATGACCTCAATCGATCAGTACATAAATTTGAAGTAAAGAAGAAAAAAGGCCAGTTACTTTGTATGACCTATGCCAACGTAAACCTACGTTGAACTTTTCTTACGTAGACATCATATTTTTAACTCATGCTAACGAAAGCTAAATAGATTTTATTGCAAACAAAATACAGCAGGATTGGACAAAAGTTATAACAAATTACTTACGCCCTTTCCATAACAAATAAAAACATACAAATTAAGATAGTCGCGCAATAGCAATAGAACTTTTCATATTTATTAGTTAAAGATATGCTTAGAAAATGATAAAAAGAAAACAAAATTTGGTTAAGAGTGGAGGTGGGCACCGACAATTAATCCTGTGGGTTTGGTGACTGTCATTTCCTAATCCATTCGGCAAAGAACTGACCCTTTACTGTACACACATTGCGTTCTACTTATCTAAAATGTTTAGTGCTTTAGTTGTCGTTAGCCTGGATGGGGTCTTCCCCGAACACCAACTCTGTATATGACAACATGTTTACATAGGAGGTCAACTGTGATGATAGTGGATTATAGGCTGTTTTAGAATTGGAGTACAGGTAACTTGCACAGGTAAATTCTGATAACTGTTCAGAAAACAGGTAAATCAGATGATTAAGTTCTGATTCTGATAACTGTTCAGAAAACTGAAAACTGTTAATAACTGTAAAATAAAGGAATCAAATATCTGTGTTAAATCTGTTTAAATCCCATGCTATTCAATGGGAAATGTATAAAAGCCAAGTTCATTTTGGGAAATTATCATATTTCAATCTGCACTTTGAAAGATCAATATCTCAATCATTGCTTGATTTATTACTGTACTTTTGTCACAGATATATATTGTCAAATCATAACTTTTGTCATGTATAAATTAGTTAATCTTGTATTTTCTCTCAGTTTTTGTGTAAATTGTAACTTTTGTCAAATATTAGTTAATCTAGTATTTTCTTTCAGTTTTTGTGTAAATTAGTTAATCTTGTATTTTCTCTCAGTTTTTATGTAAATTGTGTTTAATTTGAGTGATATTATTATCTTTGTTGTTTGATACAAGGACAGTATGGCTAATGCTCAGATCAACGTTAAGTTCATCACCAACAGAAGAGGCGGACAGAACCTTTCACATAATGGATTCATCTTCAGACAGATTCGAAAGAACGGCAGGACATTCTGGAGATGTTCGACCTCAGGCTGCTCAGCATCACTCTCGATAATCGACAACATACCAGCTAACTTCGGGAGAAATCCACACACCCACGCCTCAGACCCAGCCAGTGTTGTAGCCAAACAGATCATGAACCAGATCACCAACAAATGCGTATAATCGGTCCAGCCTATTCCGTCCATCTTTGAGGAAGAGCTCAATCAACTCCGAGACAACGACTGAGATGACACTTCCAAGGCCGTGGTCCAGCGACTACCAACATTCTACACAGCGAAATCGTCTCTTTACCGTGCTCGCCGCAAGCAGACTCCTCCACTACCAAAGACTTTGGCCGACATCACCTTGGATGGAAGATGGACAGAAGCATCTACAGGCGAACCATTTCTCCTCTTTGACGACGGTGAACAGAACAACAGGATGATTGTATTCGCTTCGTCGGAGAACCTGGCCGAACTTGCAGCATCTGACACCTTCTTCTGTGACGGAACTTTCTACAACTGTCCAACAATGTTTCATCAGATTTACAGCGTCCATGTACAGAATGAAGGCATCATGACACCAGTCGTATACGTATTACTTCCCGGAAAGAGCCAGGCAATCTACAGCCGTTTCTTCACCCTTCTCCAGGATCACATGGCACACTTCGACATTCCATTCCGACCCACTACAGCCTTCGTCGATTTCGAGGTAGCTGCACACAATGGATAGAGGGAGATCGTACCACCTGGAACCACTTCTCAACCGAGGGACCCCGGACTACCAACCATCTGGAAGCTTGGCACGGAAAACTGAAGGTACTGCATGCCCACCCCAACATCTACACCATCATCCAGACGTTTAAGGACATACAGAACATGAACGACATCAGCCGGATTCAGAGAGACGCAGGAGGCACCATTCAACCCCGGAAGAAGAAATACGCCAACATTGACAGACGCCTGGGCACCTTGAAGGACCGTTACCAGACTGGGACAATCGACCTGATGACCTATGTTCGGGGAATGAGCCTCCTGGATCACTCCTTGTCCTTCTACGATGCTGTACTCTACCTGCTTTGCCGACAAGAATAGGAAACCTCAGTTGTGATCTTAGTATATGGTCTTGGTAAACTATGGATATTTTACGAAGTATGTATTAAATAAACATTATAATTATATAAATAAAACAAAACCCGTCGGTGTTGGGAGGAAAGGATGTTCATAACTGGATGAATTGAAGGGGTGTGGGGAAGGGGTAGTATAGACATACTAGGTGTCCTAGTTATCAATGATTAAATGTTAAAACGTTTAGAACTAGAAATAAATGATTGTATAGACCTACAGATGACAATATTTTTATTAGTATCGAGATTTTCGTCCCCAAATAGAAGGTGTTCCACAGTTATTTCGTTGTACCTGTAAAGCATTATATTCGAAATTGATCAAAGTTGTTACAGAAAAGCAGGTAATGACTAGAGTCTTCAGAATGATGTCCGCAACTGCAAAAAGAATTGGGTCGAAGACGTGCTTTGTAAAGATCATAATTTAGAGAGCTGCTGCGGTTGCGGAGTTCACAATGTATTATTTTACTTTTCTAGGCCCGTACCCAGGAAATGATTTAATATTTGTAGGGATAGTAAGATGAGGTATAAAATTTTCGAATTGTTGGATAGAACCAGATGACTTTGTTTCGATAGGTAGAGTATTCCAGGAGGCTGAGGTGCTTGGTATAAAGGATGAATTTGTAAGTTGTAGCATATAGAGTGGATTTTGAAAATTATTTCTGTTTCTAAGATTGTAATTTGTAGAATTTGACACAGTAGGTGGTAGTAGAGATTTTAGATATGAAGGAGCATTATTGTGATAAATATTATAAAACATAGACAACTTCCTAGTTTTACGTCTGTCCGCCATTGATTGCCAGCCTAGCTCCCTGTAAATAAATACTTTTTTGGTAAATACAAGTAATCCTGTAATTATGCGACCTGCTTCATACGCATGCGTATTCAAAAAGTGGTCTGATGAAAATAAGATATATTTTTCTAAGTTTTTTCCGTTCAAGATGTACTTGAGTTTCCGAAGTGTTGCTATGTATTTCGCAGTTTTTGTCAAAATGTCATCAATGTGAGAGTTCCAAGTATCATTACTGTTTATAACTACTCCTAAAATAGGAATGGATGTGTTGTCAAAGAGAAATTGTGGGTTAGAAGGTATATTTGTGTTAGAAATCAGGAGTTTTTCAGTTTTAGTTGGATTGAAGCTCATTAACCATTTTTGAGACCAAAGATTCAGCTGTTCCTTGTCGTAGTTTATTACCTGTTTTAGGTCGTGTAAATGTTTAGAAGAGAATGATAATGCAGTATCGTCAGCGAAAAGTCTAGTAATAGATAAAAGAGTGTTTGAAATATCGTTAATGTATACAAGAAAGAGAAGGGGGCCTAGAACAGAACCTTGGGAAACCCCGGCTTTATTACATACTTCTCGAGAAACAATATTTTTAAGGACAACTGATTGACGTCTGTTGCTTAAATAGTTTTTTTTATCCATTCTAAGACTTTACTCCTTATCCCGTATCTTCCTAATTTAATTAACAGACCTTCATGGCAGACTCGGTCAAACGCTTTAGAAAAGTCACAGAAAGCAAGAACTGTAGATTCGTGATTCTCTAGTACTAAAAGTATATTATGGTAGAGTTCAATATGTTGGCGAGTCGTAGAATGATTCGGTAAGAAGCCGGATTGTAGTTTGTATAGAAGATTATTAGTGAAAAGATATCAACGACGTAAGTCTGTAAAGTGAAAGGAGTATCATTTTATTTCATGGGCACCGCAATACTTTATCAATTCATTGTGGCTTCAATGTGTTTAAGACGCCCTACTTATAATCGATTTATTGGGTACAGTAGCTGGTGTGCTAACTGCCAGATGTTTCAAACGTAAAATGTAAACTGCATTTTTCATATCTAAAACTAATGCAGTTTACACACCAGTAAACAACCGAGAATGAAACAGTATTTCTTACACTTACAATTTAACAGTTGTGTGTGGGTTTTTTCCATTATTATTATTAAGGCTGCGTTGGTAAGAAAATACACACCGGAAATGTAGATATAAGATTATGTCTTCTCCACAGTAATTTTGGACCGATGCTAACACGGTACGGTCCGATCTGTTTGTTCATTAGTATGACTGTAGGTTAATCCACATCATACAACGTGCAGCTCGAAAATTCGTATAATTACCACGGTGACATTAAACTGAATATCGATATTGGTAGAGTGACAGGTGTAGATCACGTGACAGTCTGTAACGTTTGGTTATTGCATAACTGGATTATTTCTTAGTATATACATTAATACCCTAATGTCACGCGACAAGATCATACGGAATTATAAAATGCGAATGCATTCTAAACAAGAAATGGGGTCCATTCGAGATTTCAACGTACAGTTGACCCAAGTATGGCTTTCACGAGGTGTAACTATGTTGTTAATCAGAAAGAAATACGTATGCAAGAGGTGTCGCTACCCTCTAACCAGAAGTGTTTTATGTGCATATAATAACACTGTACATAAAATCAAAAATATGAATTCATTATTTTGCTTTACTGTAACCTAAATTTGTATTGAAAGGTGCAATCCTCTTTTGTGTTCTTGGTGGTGTCGCTTCACTCTAAGCCCCGAAAAAAACTACGGTTTTAAACAGGTCTCTGCGATTTTATACTACAACTTCTGTTTTCAGAAGTGTCATAGTATATGTTGCTTCACTTAACTCAAAGCCATAATTAACTACAGTACATGCTATAGAAACGTTCAGTAATTATTGTATATCAGAACAGAAAACAAGTATTGCTATTTATTCAGTAATCGTTTTTTTTATCAAAAGTTGAGGAAGTTTTACTATTCACAACCGTTTAGGTATCAAGTCCCGTCATCAACCGTGTGACAGTCACATCGGAACTCTTTCGTGTTTGTCGGTGAAAAAGAGTATTTTGGGTCCAAGATGGCGGCCTACGAATCGCTGAGACTGTAAGTGGGCGTAATGTTTACACATTTCACTCATGTTTCGTGCATTGTAATGTCACAAGTAGAACAACATGCTTTAAAATATTATTTTCTAACCAGAAATATGCCTAATGTAGTTGGTATTATCGATATCAGTAGTCTGCTTTCTACCTCTCCGAGATTGATGACGTGCCGGCTGTTTCGTTCATGATAGGTACTAGCGCTAGCATCGACAGTCAGTATACGGATGTACTAATATGGGTAGATTGACAGACGAAGCTAGTACCCGTGGTTTCTTTATAATCATTCGATTTATTACATTTGATCTTCAGGTTAGCCTATAGGACTCGCACATCTGAACACAAGTATGAGTAATTGCCGGGCCTAGTTTCCAGGTCTATTATTGATCTACCAGACAAAATTTAAGGACCTATGTAGATATATCCACATTTAATGTGCTGATGTATCGAGTGACCTTTCCATATTTTAAGATATCTAGACCTATTTAGCAAAGTCACATAAAAGTTTGAAGATTTATTGCGACAAATATAGACGGAAACCCGAGTATTGTTCAATTCGGTCTTGGTATTTTGAAAGATGTGTTTAATTTTATAAATAACTCAATAATTAGCTACCATATGAAGGTGGTACAACATCAACACCATTGAATTTCGTCAGTAAATCAGATGCTGTGAGCGAGCTTGAACTTGTGCCATTGACTATGAAAGCATCTTAGTGATATATGGATCATAAAATATGGCCTTTCACCTGTTTACAGGTATATACATTTGAAACCCATCCCTTGTTTACGCTAGCTATGTATTTAGCTGGAAGAAATAACATGATATACTGTACGTAAGGACTTGTCGCAGTAAGAAATGTTATAATTTGTGGCCCTGGTAAAATGTTAAATATTATTTAATTATTAATTATTCGCCATTCCTAAAACTATCAGAAATCATTTCTCCAAACAAAAGCTGATTGATAAAAAAAAAGGAGCAACTTATTAATTCATTCAGATACTATTAAGTGTACCATTCTATTGATTTTGTATTTTATTGAACTTATTAATTTAATTTGAAATCCCTTTTATAATGTGCATATCTTCATTCATTTGTTTGATCTTACACAGAAACATTAATAACATGTAAATCAACTACAAAAACATGTGAAAGATTATTTAAATGACAATATTATTAATCGAAGGAATTATATGAGAATAGTTATACTGTTATATTTAATAATTTAATATCTAAAAATAGATTTCTGATACAAGATTTGATATATCCTACACCATACTGAAAAATATTAAAACAATTAAATATATCTATTTGATGTACATCTTATTACCCTTATTCATAAATCACTTTTTAAATATACCTTTAATTTGGACATTCAGTTTTAACTTTGGAAAATATATGTACCTTTGAACTGATAATTTTCGAAATAGACAATAACAAAACTTATGATTAACAAGTGAAAGTATTCCTGACAAGAGGTGAACACATTGTAATTTCGTAGTTGAACCTGGCAAGTACTTTGTACATGTATACACCTGACTCATATTTTAGTGTATATAGTACATCAGCTTACATTTATGTATTTGATATGTAGGAGGACATCGATAATAGTTTTGTTAATATGTAAATATGGGTTGTAATATTATACATGTATCCTAAAATTAAAACCGATAAATTGTTTGTTGATATCAGTGCTAAAGAAATTATATTAACTACTTATCACTCTAAATATACAACCTCTTCATATTACCATATTTTATTAAATCTATACAGTGATTTTTTTCGAAAAGTAATTGTGAAACTCATTAATGTCCCAATTAATTGTTTGAATAACATTTTATCATAAAATAGAGAAAGTATTTATTAAAAATGATAGCAAATTTTGGGATCCAATATTAGAGTCCCAGACTCATGCTTTTCCTGTGGGATCCTGCTAAATCTTTAAGTGTTGGGACTCTTCCGAATTTTGCGATTGGTGTCCAGGACTTGCCTGAAAAAAATCTTTCATAAGATAATTGACACAAGATCTGGTTGAAAAGTTCCACTAAATAATTCTATTGTTAGGTCAATATAACTTAAAACTCCTGGGCACATTTTACATCATTTACCCTTTAATGAATCCATGAGGGCAACTCTTCCAGTGTGTCTCAAACTAGGCGCATTACACTGAATATGTGTAGTACTTGTTGAAAATTCTAATTAATCTGGGTGTTCATCAATGTACATCTTCACTGAAAGTGTTTAAGACAGATAAAATATTGGATTTGTAGACATATAACAGGAGACAAGTTCCTGATTGAACCCCAGAATGCTGGAGTTAGTGAACTCCTGGTGATAGACAGGATCTCACAAGAAATATCTCTGGAAGGTGAGTGTACATATGTACCTGTAGTGTCAGTAAACCAGCATGATTCTGTTGTCTGTGTGGCGAATTCCCAGGTCATTTAAATTCAGAAAAAATGAACTTAATTTATGAAAACCTGGTAAAAAGTATGTGTGAATAATACTTGTACGATATCAGAGACAGATCAATACATAACATATACCTTGAACTATCGTGTGATCAATGATGTCAGACCAGTACAGACATGTGTAAAGTCCAGTATTACATGTACTTATACCTGTATGTGTATAAAATCAGATTGAACTGATCCAGAAAGATTTATCACTGTATTGCCAGAGGCTGCCTGACATCTACTGTCATGCATTAGAGTTCATAAAGTGATTTTCACAGGAAGTAAATCCATTAAACATCAATACCTACTAGTGACTAGTAGAATGATATTATTTTCAAAATATTAAATGTTTTCAATATTTGATTGACAGAACAACATGATGGTATGATACACTGTTTGGTCATCTGTGTTTTGTCCATTGTTTTCAAACACATGTACCAGCATTAAGCTTTTTTCTAGTTCCACTAATGCAACTAAGTTATAATTTGCTTGGAATTATCCTGAAATGGTTAGTGAGTTTTTAGACACAGATATTTGAGTCATGGACTCATACTTGCTCACATTTTGAGATTCCATTATATCTCTTAGTATTGGGACTCCAATTAAAATTTTTGGATTGGTGTTCTGTTTTCAACTTACAAAAATCTCTCAAAAATAAATGGAAAGTCTTGATGAAGCTTTCTTATTTTTCAGGTTGTCCTGAAATGCAAGATGGCCAGTATGGTCAAATCTTGAAAAACACATTTAAACCTCTTTGCCAGTTATGCTGGTGCCATTGAGCTGAAAATTTGAAACTGAATTGAAATGTTACTTTGACTTCTAAAATATCACAATTGTTTTAGTTATTAGACAAAGTCAGATGATCTCTAAGGTCCATTGGCATCTTGTTTGTCTTTTTAAGGATGGGGACTCACTTGGCACAGATGTCACTTATACTGTTGTTAGTTCCCCAGTACTGGAGGGGATTTTAGTTTTTGTTGTGTGTGTGTCAGACCTTCTGCTTTCTTGTCTAGCCTCTATCTTCTGCACAACTAACCATTAGAACTTTATGCTTAGGCAATGAGTTCACTTTGGTAGGTCACCCTGGACTACATTTTCGCCTTTGACCTACATCAAAGAAAAAACCTTGACCTTGCTCTGTCTTCTACACTACTTATCACAGGACGATCTACATCAAAGAAAAAGCTTGTGTGGGCCCTATCTTCTACACGATTAATCATTGGAACACAATACTTTGGATGTTAACATCACTTGTCATAAAATTTAGTTAAAAAGAGGAATTGCTGTGTTGGACTCAGTTTTTTTGTGTATTACTTGGGATATAGTGAGACAGTGTGTTGGTGGGGAAATGTAAGTCACTAAATTATCTTGTTATATACTCAGAATTAAATATTAACAATATGTCACAGTCAGGGACATGTATCATGATCAGACATTATTTTGCATGTGAAGTGACTTGTCATGTATTAAAAAGTAGGTCACTCAGGTCTACACTTTTACCTTTGACCTACATCAGAGAAAAGATTGTCTGGGGTCTCTCCCCAACAGTACTAGTCACTGGAACTTTACCTTGGGCATGGGTTCACCTGGTGAGGCGATGTGTAGTGTATCAAAAGTAGGTAATTCAGACTTATATTTTGACCTTTTACATACATAACATTAAATCTTTTCCTGGGCTTCTCTCTCCTATTCTTCCTGCCACTTGAAATTCATAGTGAAAATATGGGTTTACCTTGCTGAGGCAACGTGTCAGTTTGAGACTGTCATCGGCCGAATGGTCTTACTTTATATATACTCGACAAGCATTAACAACTGTACTACTTTTGTGTTTCCAGCTCCACAGTCTGTGTTACCTGGGACAGACACATTCAAACAGCAGATCTATGGAATCTTTGGTGTGGTACGACTCACAGCAGGTTTGTATCTCTAGTGGCAGTTTGTTTGCTTTATAATTGTGTGTAACCTTATTTTTTAGCTCGATATCTATCTGTTGAGTTACTCATATCACCCTACGTCCATCATCCTCTATCTGGTTGTAAACAATTCTTTTTATCATTAATTCTTGAGAAACACTGGACGGATCTTGCTTAAACTGTGTTTGTATGTTCCCCATGGTCCTTAGTTGTGTCCTTTTGATTTTGGGACTGAACAGAAAAAAAGAAATGGCCGACAGGTGGCCATCTTAGATGTTTACAGTCACAGTTTGTTATCACTATTTAATGGGAAACCCTGGATAAATTTTTGTCATATTTCACATGAAGCTCCCCTTGATTCTTAATTATGCCATTCTGATTTTGAGATCATTCATGAAAACAAATGGCTGAAAAGCAGCCATCTTGGATTTTGGCAATGAAAGTTTGTTATTGCTATTTCTTAAGAAGTACTAGATAGATATTTCTCATAATTCATATGTAGTTTCCTCTTAGTCTGTAGTTGTGTATATTTGATTTTGGAGTAGAAAAGCAAAAGGGCCCACAATATTATTTCAATTTCTTTGAAGAATTTCTAAATTTCTTTCACTTAAGAGCGAAAATAGAGGAAAGAAGGTAATAATTTAAAACTTTAAAAGAAGAAAATCAGATGATGTTGGATGCCAATATCCCTCTTGGATCAGTTGTTCCCCTGATAATAATACTACTTAAACTATGTACTTGTTTCATATGTTTTTAATCAAAATCTTTTACTGATATACCTGTGTGTTTAGGGCCTTACCTAATTGTGATTACAAAACGAGAGAAGGTGGGAGAGATCGGAGGTCATACAATATGGCGGGTCAAAGACACATCCATGTACTCATATCAGAAGACCATGCTTCATCTGACAGAGAAACAGGTAAGGCTTTACATAGATTGCAAAACATAGATTGATTTATAAACCAGATCATTGTATAGCTAGGATAATGGTATTTGGTATCCTACTTTGAATCATCTCGGTTACACTTGATATTCTCAAACCCACATGTTTTGTGTCTCCTGATGGATTTCTTACTTATTGTGTATTTGATGCATTGTAGTTGAGATGTCTTTAAAAAATTTCAGCTGATGGGATGAATTTAATAAGTTACTGATTTCTTGAATAGAAACAAAATTGTTAATGCCAGAACATAAGTTTGAAGAAGATAAAAAATACCAGTTGATATTGAAGAATTTTTAGCAAATTTATAGTTCATAAACGACAATGAGATTTTTATGTTTCTGTAGATCATGGACAATCGGACATACCTTTCCATGATTGAGCTGGCCTTGAAAACAGAAAGTTATTACTTCTCTGCGACATATGACATTACACATTCACTACAGAGGCTTCAGAATACCAGCCCAGAATTTCTCAGCATGCCCTTACATGAACGTGTAAGTAAACTTGTCTCTGTACCCTCACATGGAGTGGTTCAACCTATAAAATATCTAAATGTAGTTCAGATGATCTAATTGTAATGCTGATATGACATTTTTCATACTATCTCTGCTGTGTATTTCAGGCAGATGCCCGTTTCCTTTGGAATGGCCATCTGATGAAAGAGCTGACACAACAACCAGAACTCGGTCGATACTGTCTGCCAATTCTCCTTGGCTGTATCCTTTTGTGTGTTGCTTCCAATAAGGAATCTATAGAGACTGTAGTCTCAGACTGCCAGATAAGGGGGATATTAGAATGTTTCACTGCTTTAGAGTATGATGAAATCGCAACTCAGTTTGAATATCCAAAACTTAGGCTTGCCCATTGGTCTTGCAAAAATCTTCATTCTTAGATCAAGTTGATATCTTACTTTTCTGCTAAGGTAAAATGCGGAGGAAAAGATTTCAATTTTCTTTCACCTATTTCCCTCTAATATGGGTAGGATAGGTTGACCTCATCCTGAGGGTAAAGAGTCTTTAGATGGCAAACATGAGTCCTGTTGAGTGTTTGCTAAATTTAATCTATCTCCAAGAGTTGAGATCACTGTTTCTTGTGCTCTGGACAGGTAAATCCAGGCTTTTTCCTTATGTGAGATTTACTTATCTCATCCTAGGGTTGATACATCCTACAGAAGTTCTTTGTATGTCCTGAAAACAATTTAAGTGACGTCACTGACGTGACCTGGAAGTAAAACAACTTCTATGAGGTCACACACATGTGCTAGTTTGTCTGCTACTGAAATACTGTGTTATCCTCTAAATTGAAAATGCTGTGTTATCATCAAGGTTAAGACTCATCTTAATTCACAACGCATTATCAAATATATGGAAAGAATATCGAGATAGTAAATTAATTTGATGTTTTATTGACATGTTCACTAGAATTGTATTTTGTGTAAGATTAAATCAAAATGCTCCATTTATGTGTTTTTGTTTACACACAATGCATCTTGCTCAAGGACAAGAAAAACAAGGTAAGAGAAAAATAATCATTCACTTCTCTACTGGAATGAGATGGCGGGGAATCACAATCCTTAGTGGGAAGACTATTGAGCTGTCAAACACTTATAAAGCCTCATGTTTTACAACTTAATCTTGATCTTCTCCCTCATGTTGAGGTCCCCCTATCTCACCCTAAAGGGGAGGAGGGTGAAAGATTCTATTAATCACACCTTTAGGAAGGTGAAGGATTTATTTTCTCCTACCTTTAAGATTCCTATATATTTTATATTAGCTTTGTTCTTTACTTTGTTGATGTGACATTAGTGAATTGTTACTGTGTCATCATTCCATTATCCTGAAAAGGAATCCCCCCTGTACATGATGCAGTACATAATTATGTGATCCTATAGTGCCTTAACTGTTGATTAGTTATTACCGTAAAGTCCTGTAACATCAACAACAAAGCATTCGACTACATCCTCATCTCTCGACGATGTATATACCGGGCAGGCACACGTTTCTATGTACGAGGGATTGACACAGAGGGACAAGTAGCCAACTATGTGGAGACAGAACAGATAGTGCAATATAATGGACAGAAGTGCTCATTAGTACAGGTTAGATAATTTAGCTACTAACCGTGCAGGGTTTCAGCAGTAGTAGGAAGGCTAACATCTTAAGTTATTCATTTTAACTGAAAAAAGAGCAACTGATCATCATTCTTTCATTTGTCCTTTAATTCTTTTGTCAGCCTTATAAAATAACATGCTGGTAAATTTTGAGAATAAAAACACACTTATTTAAACAAATTTTGTCCAGATAAACTGGAAAATAAAGCTTCACACTGAAATTTATTGGTTGTTGATGTATCTGATGTGCTTTCCAATTTTTACAGACCAGGGGATCCATACCCATATTCTGGAAACAACGACCAAATTTGAAATACAAACCAAAGATATCAATAGACACATCTAGTCATGTAAGTAAAACAAACACACATCTAACTCTATAATAAAAAGTCACATGATATTCTAGGTGCAAGGTGTATACTGTCTAGAAAATTCCTTGAATTAAGCTATGGCGCCTTAAAAATCCTTGAATTTACTTTTGTCTTTGAAACGCCTTGATTCCTGGTCTGTGGTCTTGTGTGCAATATGTGATTCAAGGTTTCATATGAAAAATTACAAACAGACATGAATGCTTGGATATGTACCCTCAATCCAAGTTGAAAGAAGAACTCTTGGCTTGTTAAATTCAGATTTGAAAGTTCAAAGGTACATTGAATTTCATGTCTCAGATTGATAGACCTCCAGAAAATTAGTGAAACACTGACATCACTTAAGAAAAGCATCAGAGTATGTAAAAATCTCAATGTGAAGGGTCTTTAAAAATAAGCTACAACCATAAAAGGCATTGAATTTGGTTTGGTCTGGCCTGTATTCACCTTGAATAAATTATAAATCCTTTCGTGTGATAAATCTTGATGGGACTAACTGGTAAATGAGTAAAGCATAAAATAAATTTCAGGGTGTATGGAATCATTTAAGAAAAGTAATACCTGTTTTATCATCACATTAAAGTACTGATACTTAAGTATACATTGGACATAGAAGATGGAGCATCGACATTTGTATTCTGTGGTTTTATGATTGGTTTACATGTTTCAGATAGCATGGCAAGCAATCATCAGAAGTTCTCATGATAGCTAGAGGAAAACATGTAAACCATTGATAAAACCACAGAATCTAAATGTTGATGCTTCATCCTCTGTGTCCTCTGTTTCTACCTGCCTTGATGGGGCTTTATTGAATACTGTTCAGTGTCCATCATTGATTCCAGCAAAATCTTATCTATGACTGAATATAATCAGAGAGTCGGTTCTCTCCTACTTCATTTTTAATTCTATATACCTGGTACACCTTTTTCAATATCACTTTTGGTATGATGTTTTTTTTTCTCCCTGTAGGCTTTTTGGGGAAATGTATACCTCAGGGCCCTGACATACATTGTAGCACGTGTTACTGAAAAATCCAACACATTTCATGAAGTTTTGGTTCAGCATTTAAATGGAACCTTTTTCATAGCACTTGTTAAATATTTCAACAGCCTGTGTTCAGCCATCACATACAAAGTATATCATTATATACACAATATATTGACAAATTATAGGTTTCGGCATTCTTGTATGACACTGGAATACAATAGTATTATTATAAAATGTTATATTTTCAAGCATGAAGTATTCCAGCGTCATATAGAGGACCAAGTGTATCATTATGGCGAGCAAGTAGCTGTCAATTTGGTGAGTATGATTGTAAGAATCTGTTATAGAAATCTGTTATTGAAATATAAACTGGGATGTTAAATTGATTGAGGTGTTTATATAGGGATTGAATGTTACTTTTATGTTTACCATGCATTTATGGAGCAATTCCTCTTAGAATATATTTTATGGAGCACGTTATCACTCCATTTTGAATATATTCTGATAGTAACTGCCCTATGAAAGCATGGTCAACATAAAAAGGTCCCTTTTCAACTTTGAAAGTAATATATGTAACAGTAACATTTTCAAGGATAATCATATTTAAACTGATTTAAAATTTAATTTTATGTCTAACTTGATAAATGTAATAAACAAAATGTAATTATATATCTATGTGTTTGGCAGAAGTAGTTCCTGAAACATTTTCATGTGCCAGTTCAAAGGTCAAATGTTTCCATGCCTAGTATGGGAAACATTTTAATCTGGTAATGTTGTATAGTGATAAATAGTGTAAATATACATATATATTTGGTAAATCTAGGGAAACTATTATCTAAATAGTGATAACACTATGGTAAAATTTACATGATTTATTTGACAGGTGAACTCGACAGGATCAGAGGGCCAGTTAGAAAAGGCCCTATCTCAGTCTATCACAAAGCTTCAACACCAAAGACTCAGGTGAAGTGAAAACATTAAGTTATTTTAATGGTTTTACAATACTTGTACTGCAACTTGTATACTCTTGCACCTGACTCTTCAGGGTGTAGTTTTACCAGCAGCTCTAGGTTTGAGGTATCGGTGGTATGACTTGGCTAGTGACACTATCTACTGTCTGTTTGAGTACATTTATAGGTGTTTAGTTCTACATCAGGATAAAGTATGTGTTATGTTATATCACTCTTCTGTAGAATGTGTCTGTAAACTTTTTGGATATGCTTTTTCCTCCTTTTACAGATATGAATACTTTGACTTTCACCATGAATGTCGAAAGATGAGATGGGACAGACTCACCATTCTAATAGACCGCCTGTCTGAGGATATCAACAGGTTTGGGTAAGAACTCAAGTATTGATCATCTTTTTTTTATTACTGTTTGGCATCTTGAAGTTGACAAAGTGTTTGATAGATCGATTGCAAATTTTTCTCTATGAGATATTTCCACTTCCTAAAAATCCTTCAAGATTGTATAAAAAGTGTGATAGACATTTGGTTATATTGGTGTATTCACAACTATTTGTGTATATTGGTGTATTCACAACTATTTGTGTATATTGGTGTATTCACAACCTGGCAGGTACTACATGGTGGGTAATGATGGAGTAGCCAGTATGTACCAGAAGGGAGTCTTCAGGACCAACTGTATTGACTGCCTGGACCGCACTAATGTTGTACAGGGCTTAATTGCCAAGGTGGTTCTACAGCAACAATTAGGGGTATGTATACAACATCTACAGATCTTGTGCACCATTACATCATCAGTTCCAGTGTTATGTATTATATCATCAGTTCCAGTGTTGTGTTTTATATCATCAATTCCAGTGTTGTGTTTTATATCATCAGTTCCAGTGTTGTGTATTACATCATCAGTTCCAGTGTTGTATATTACATAACCGCTTGTGGTGTTGTGTATTATATCATCAGTTTTAGTGATTTACATCAACATCTCCCTTTCCTTTTTTGGTTGTGACAGCTCAAATTTGCTCTGTGATAAACAAATGCTTTCGAAAGGAAGTAAACTGACTCAATAAGCAGAAGTTAAAATGTACTTTCAGAGTTTCCAATACAATAAACTAAGATTTCTGTGTTTTTTGCCCATGAATTAAGATCACTAATTATTTATATATAACATTTTCACTTACAGAGACTTGGGATAATAGAAACTGGACAGAAAATAGACGACATCACTACTTTCAAAAAGATGTACAACAACAGTAAGTGTAAAAGTCTTATCTCAGATATTGACCAACAAAGAATATTTTACATTCATATACCATATATATATATATATTTTTTTTTTATGCTATTTTCTAATTTACAATTATTTTATGTCATCAGATTCACTGTTAATATTAAACTGGAATAATGTTATATTATATCCATGTATTTTTAGTTCCTCCTCTTCATTGGTGAAATATGACTATGACTTGTCTACTATTAAATATTCTGGTTTTGACGCTAAGTAGTGAACAGAACCTATCAAACAATATTCATGAGATTCAGAAAGTTTCCTGCAACATTTTTTTGCAAAGTTTTTTATGATGATGGGTTGGTTAGTTTTAGTTTTATACTTAGTAAATGACAGGATTGGAATTATGTGTTTTGATTAAATCCTTTTTGTCCTGCATTATTTATCTAAAGACAGTTCACATGATAAACTTTGGTCAGTGTTGAGGTAAACTTCCTTCAATCCTCAAAGTTAAGATTTAAACCCTTGCATTGTATTGGATCAGCTTATTTCTTATGTTGTATTATATTTCTCCAGCACATTATGATAGACTTTCCCAGTATGTCAAATCATACTTTTAATTTAATATTTTGATATTCAACTTTAATTTGTGTTTAGCTTTAGTATTAAACAATTTTCTAGCCTCGTCTATTTTCCTTTAACATGAAGGGTCAATTTATATAAAGGTTTGGTGTTGATATTAGAAAAATCTAGTTGTTTGACAACTACAGATTGCTACAGGATGAAATTGTGTGAAGTCAAACTTGGATGCCAGTTAGAATGAACGAATGATTGAGTCATGCAAGGACTTGGTTTTAACCCATTGTTTCCGCACCTGAAAAAAAAACTGGGTAGGTCCAGGCTCCTGAAACTGCACCAGTCCAGTGTTAACCTGATGTCACTTTTTCCATTTACAGTATGGGCAGATAATGCTGATTGTATATCTAAACAGTATGCTGGAACTGGTGCTCTGAAAACAGACTTTACAAGGTAACACTTCAGCCATTGTTGGTACTTATAACTGCTGGTTCTAAATGATGTACCAGAGATCCAATCAACTATCAATTCATTTTATAAAAAATCTTGTGATGTTTACAACATATATACCAATTGAAAACAAAACCAAAAATGGTGTGATCAAGTTAAAAAGTTGTAGAAAAAAATCTAAGAAGATGTTTAAAAGAGGTTAAGAATTGTTTGAATTAGATAAGAATCGTGCAACTAGATTGGAGTAAGATTTACCAACAATATGAAACAGTTCAGTCACCCAGGTAAAAATAAGTAAAACTGATGAGAAAAAAATGTACAAATAAAACAAAAATAATGTAATTGTCTTGGTAATTAAGTGTTGGTCAGGCTGTGAATATTTGTACATGTATGATTAATATCAACATGGATACAGACTCAGTCAGACACCTGTACTAGTAGGAATGACTTTGACAGGTTGACTAAACCTGTATATAATACCAGACTTAATATATTGCCATGGTACATACTTTATATATTACCATGGTTACAGACTTTATATATTACCATGGTTACACTCTTCTTATATAACTTTGCTACACACTTTAACTCAGTAATTTGCCTTGGTTACAGACTTGGCAAGAGAACTACCATGGGACTGATGATGGATGGCTGGAACTCTCTCATCAGATACTTCAAAAACAACTTCAGTGATGGTTTCCGACAGGTATGCTAAACCAGAAGAAATACAGGTTATTGCTGGGTTTGTTTATTTTTGTTGATCATAACCAAGATCTAAATCCTAGTGGGTTACACATCACAAGTTTGTTGCTCACAATTCAATTTTTATCCTAATTTTGTATATATATAATCTTACTTTTAAGGACTCCATAGACTTGATATTAGGAAACTACATTGTGGAGGAGAATGAGGGCGTGATTCACCCCACACCCTTACAGAAACAGCGGGACTGGAAGTTCTATGCAGTAAGAATATTTCACTTATACATGGCTTATATAACATGTACTTTACTCAGAATCACATTTTTGACAGTCATGCAAAAAATGTTTCCATTTACAAGAAACTTTTCTGCTTAGCATGAGCTGAATTAGCAAGTTCTAGGTGTTGGTTTTGGCAGCTCAGCTCAGTGTTTAATATCTGTGTTAATGCTTTTTGATAAATTGTTGATATTTTGATGTCTGTGTTAATGCTTTGTGATAAATTGTTGATATGTTAATATCTCTGTTAATATTTTGTGATAAGTTGTTGATATTTTAATATCCTGTGTTAATACTTTGTGGTAAGTTGTTGATATTTTAATATCCTGTGTTAATACTTTGTGGTAAATTGTTGATATTTTAATATCCTGTGTTAATACTTTGTGGTAAATTGTTGATATTTTAATGTCTGTGTTAATATTTTGTGGTAAATTATTGATATTATTTAATAACTTGGTGTGTGTTTTGTAGATTCCTGTGATACTTGTGATTGCCATGGCGATGTGTTTCATCAGTATACTCATGCCTGACGGTAAGTATATCTTCTTTCATTATTAACCATTATGTATCAGGCTAATCACAGATAAAAATTGAAGGATACTAGTAAAGGATATTAAATATAGAAAAGGTTTGATTGTCCTTTGAAAGTTAGTCTTAAGTCATAATTTTGTTATTAATACTGGTCAGTCTTTGTATGATATGGATACAAATGGAATATAGAAGCAACTTTGCAATGAAATGCAGTTCATTCGATTGAAACTAGTTAACAAATGTGTGATTTATATTTGCAGAGGACATGACAGAACAGTTTGTGTATGTGCTATTCTGGGGATCAGCCAGCATCATTTCCATGGCAACGATATACATATATGGTGCAGCATTCATAGACAATCCAAAATTGGTTCACACCCGATAAATATGGATAACTTAGATAGCTGTGTTACCTTCTATTCTGGTAACTAATGAAGATTTTACAGATTCAACAAAACCAGTGATAAATTATCTATTAACCTGTGGGTTTGGTGTTGAGGTTATGATTTGTGACAGTATTCCACTTACCAATGAAGCTATTCTTGGAAAGTCATTGAAAATATTTAAGGGAAAAAAAACCCACAAAATTATTATTGGTATAAAAATTCATGTCTATATTTCTCATACATGAGACAGAAATCTCACACACTACCCGGTGCTAGATTTCTGTATCTTGTCTGTGTGGTACCTTTATGTGATATTTGGCACTATGTGATGTCATGATTAAGAGACATTATATTCAATTGTCATTATGACTTGTATACACTGCAAAGGGAGGTTATGAAATTAAGTTGAAGAATTCAGGAACAAAACACTGGAAGTGTTATGGAATTTTGACAATATCATGTACAAGAAATAGAATCCTTTACCTATGTGTGTCTGAGATTTATAAACCTCTGGCAAGGGCATTCTGTAACATCTCATTCTTGGCAAATTACTTGTATGTGTGTTTCAGACTGATTTCCACATACAGAGAGTGGGCTCTGTATGCCAGGTATAACTAAGATGTCCTTCAGAAATATTATAGATGAATACTACATGCACAGAAACTTATGGGACGTTAGTTTTTTTGGATTCTATTTGTAGAAGATTTTGAATTACTCGGAACATCTTCTGTGGTGTGTGTTTTAGATATCGTTTGGAGATAGTGGTCCCAGTGTATATAATTTACACTATTCTGTGATGTTGTAGTGAAATAAACTCATATGGAAATATTGTTATTTATTTTCATATGATTTGAAATTGTACAGCAGTAAGTGTAAAATACTTACAAACAATGAGGTGTCCCTCATCTTCTCAAACAATGTATTGTATAGTTTATTGAAGGTGCTTAAAAAAGTATGTTATTATAACAGTGTACAATGATATCAAGTAATTTATTAATTAATCAGCCAGACCTAATTAAGTTCTTCCATTACACATTATTTGTCTGACATTTACTTTTTATGATTAGTCCTGATTTGCTGAACAGAAGTGAATATTCAACATTTAATGGAATTTGTTGTGTGATGATAAACCCAATTCTAGGATAAAGGGACTGGACCCAATATTGAAACGATGGTAATTATAAAAAGGTTGTAATAGTTGAAGGGATTTTAGCTTAAGAGGTTTAAAAGATCCTTTGGTGTTGGACAAGGATAAAAAGTTTTAAAAGTTAGTGGTTAGACCAACTCTTTACCAGTGGTTTTTGAAGCACTTCCTACCTTGTGGCTTTGAGGCAAGGTCTCTGCCCACCATGTATACTTTTTACCATTCTCTCAACTTTTTTTTTTTTTTTTGCTTTTTTTTGTATATAAACATATATCTCAAAACTTTTGTACAAAGACAATGGTATTTTCTAATAGTGCAAATTACAAATATTTGTACGAGACAGCGTGATCACAAAAACATCACTGATACAGATTTGTGTGATACATGGAGCATGTTGTATGACCTTCCATTCATACAACATTAATCAAACAAATCTAAGAATTTTTTTCATTTTTACAGAGCCCATGTCAAGGTTAAATGAATTTTTTTATGCGTACCACATATACAATCTATATGTACAATTTTCTCATTATATCTCTTTCTTTGTTGACCTTACAATGCATTCAACTCCATGAAATTAAGATGTTATAATGGAAACATTGGGAAACTACAGCCTCATGACGACATATTACACATGTGTACTGATGAAAAACATGTGATGGGTGTTCATAAAATTATCATAGGAAAATTATTTTTATAAAGTGTAATATCAGAATTATCATACATTTATGGATGTTTGTGATGGTGAATTATGATTTAAATCTATTTATCCAAAACTACCATGAAAATACAGCTTGACACTTTAAGTTTTTCACTACTCTTGCTCTGTTAGAGGTTCACAGATATCTTAATATGGGTAAAAGGAGTGCCCAGTTAAAACATACATAGTACTACAAAAGAATCTGTAACTTTTCACATGTACTTGAGATATCAAATTGTTACCATCTTGGTAACCGGCAGGTGCTGTGTCACATATTAACCCTGAATATCATGTGGTATGACACTGAAAAAAATACTTTGATACTTTGGCTTTGTCATTGTAAAAATCAACTTTTAAGGTTCATATCACACGATAATGACCATCTCAAATGTCTTCAGGTGTGTAAAGTTTTGAGAATTAGATTCTGAAATTCTAGGTTGGTAATTTATTGATTTTTAATACCCAGTTTCCAAATAGATCATTGGTCCACCTAGGTAAATAGGGTAATGATATTGAGTTTTTTGTTGGACAACATGCTGACCAAATCATTGTGTGTAATGCATGTATTGTGAAGACCAAATATGAATGCACAATTCTATATACTGCAAATGTACAGGTTGGGGATTCCCTGGAAGGGTATATTAAGAAATCCATAACTATCAAAGCAGTCTACATGACTTATCAATGTCATATAGCATTATTTAGGATCCAGGATCACAAGAAACCGGTGTTTTGATTTGTCTAATTTTACAGGACATTCTGACCTTCTGACCATTGCCATTTTTTTATTCTTGTAAACAGATATTGCTTTTGTTTTGGGTGCATATTTTTCCCCATTTCTATAATTGTCATGAAGCATAATTTATTTATAATTGATCTCGTATAGTCATTAGTTATTGTCGAGTAATGTTATAATATAACATAGATATACTGTTATACATTTTCAATTAGATTATACTAATTTAAGACTGGAACAGAAAATCTCCACTTTATCAATCGTGAACATGACAATGAAAGAACAAACTACATGTATATCCAGGTAATATGATATTTTATGGTTTTTTTTTGTCTTATTTCAAATCAGGTCGATTGATCCACAAATAAGAGTTTTGTGTTTTGTGAATATTTGGAGGATTTCTGGAAATTTTATGGTTCATTTCAGATCATATTTGGTTGTAAAATGTCTGGGGCACATGGTCACCTGTGAGTTGCTTGTCGTACTGATATAATGAAAAGTCATCAAAATTGACACCCGTTTATTTTGTTTTGGGTTACATTGTGTGGAGGTGTAAGGTGTTCTTTGGTTAATTATGTGTTTGTGGAGATGATCTGTCATGTTGATTGAATGGTGTTGTAGTAAACAAAGTAGATAAAAACAACTGCATTAACTTAACAACTGTTAGAGCACGTGTTTATCAGGTGTGGGTCGGAATGAGATGCATTCTGATCCAAATAGATATTTTGTTTTTCCAGTGTTTTATTCAACGAATATCTGCTTTTTAAGGCCAATAAATTTGTATATCCTTGTACATCCTTATACAAATTGGAATATGTAAATAAAGAAATCACGAGAGTGAAATCTCTGTTTTTTATCTGTTGTGTGATATTACCCGGTATTTCAATGCTTATGTGCATAGTGTATATACAATTACGTCAGTAACGAAACCGGTCTGCTTCTCAGCTCAGCGCCAAGAGTTTCGAGCCTCGAACCCCGTACCTCTGACATTACGTAATCTAAATAGCTAAACAACTGAGCTATTGCGTCCGTCTGTTTTAAACAGAGTGTAATGGAAACTTATGAATGCTCCTGAAAACAAATTTATTGGACTTAGCATTATTATAATGAACAATGATTCTATAAATATCGGATAAACTATCTTTTTCTTGGTGGCAACAGCCATGTTTACCCAATGTTTTTTGCGTGTTGAGTCTGAGAGAGAGAGAAGTAAAGTTCTCTAGGATGTGACTTGATTTCATATGGACCCTCTTTATGATGAATGGATCTCTTAGTAATTGTTTTAATTATTTGTCACATTTTCAGCTACTTCTCTTGTTAGCTGATTTCCTTCAAAGATAAATACGCAACGAAGCACAAAATTCGAGAAATAATTTAATAAACAGAAAATAAGGTCAAGGAAACAGAGAGGCAGCGGAAATTAGGTCAACAATTAGGTCAAACCGAGGATTAAAGTATCGCTCTTATAGGATTTCATAATATCGATAATATTATCTCTTATATTCACATCTACTACATACCATCACATGCTTTATACATCTATTAGTTGTATGCAGGAACAAATCAGATTTAGGTTATTTTTACGGCTCTTTTGTACAGGTCATCTTGGATCCGTTTTTGCCATCCTGCTGACATTTGCAGTTCTGGAAAACGGCCTTCTTGTTGCCTTTCTTGACAATACCTTCGAACGTGCCTGAGTTCCAGTCCTTGCACGCTCCTTGCTTGTCTTTGCAAACTGAAATCAGGTCATTCTCATATTGACAACATCACATGTATATTTTAACTTGAAAATAACTGTTTTGATAGACAAAGATATGATTTACGTCAGACGTTAACGACTTTCGAAAGCCTTACTTTCAAGTGTCTTTGTTGAAATATTTCCTTCTCTCGTGTTTCATTATTATCCACTTCGTCAAAAGCACCAAGAAAGTACCAGCTTATCAACACAACTTATCATACGGCGAAACAAGTGCAATTTATGAAGAAATGAATGATTTACAAGGAAACCACAGAGAAAATGTATTTTTAATGTATAGATTTAAAAATAATTGCTGTATCCCTAGTAATCTCTGTCTGGAGGGAAAGTCTTGTAAAAGGCTGCGGTAATCTTCTATCAGCTTGTGAAATATTCGTGGCCGGTGGAAGTTTCCAACTAAACGGCTAGATTACAAGACAGACGGAACTCCCGCATAACATTCACTTGATGATCACTCTGTTCAGTATGATTCTCATGTCTTTTCATACTTCCTCTCTAAACTCATTTTCACATACATTTTATGATATTGCTGATAAATATCTCCTCTCTTTTAAGCGTAATACATGATGAGTGACAATTAAGTATTTACAAAAAAAAATAAATAAATAAATAAATAAAATGGAAAAACCATGTAAATGCGTACCGGTTTTGACGACTTCATCATATGCAGCACCAGACTTGAGACTGCACTTGTGCAGTGAACAGTTACTATCCATCCAAGTACTTTTAAAGCCCCGACAGAGTTTTCCGTCTTTACAACCTAGAGAAAACGAAATTCATTTAGTCAAGAACACAACTAATAAATTATTGTTAGCTTTAAAACTGAGGACTTGTGTGTAACACTTTTCAACACAGACTGAGGATATAAAAGAAATATGTCAACTGTTCTCGGGTACTAGAACGAAAAGCAAGCTAGAAAATGAAAATCCATCTTTGATTATGTTTTCCGTATTTTATAACAAGGTTTATTAGGTTTTTAAAACATTAATATATTCACAAAAGAAGAGAGCTGAACAAAAAGAAATCTTGTAACAGACACGAAAAATATATTTATAACAGAAATATTTGGTTTAACAGACCTACATTGAGCATTTTATATTTTCCATATATACATACCATACGGTCTGTCCTGTATGGACAGTTTCTGCTTTCCATTGTCGATGGTACTAAGGCACTTTTTCTCGAGACAGGACTCTTCTTCTTTCCATGTAGACTGACTATCCATACAGTTTCCCTTATAATTACAGTCTTAGAGGAAAACAAATAAAAAATGTAACTATTATCCAGATAAAATAGTTGAACACCACATATTTGTCACTGACATATCTACTGCAATATCGTACTAATTAAACGGATGTTTCCGTAATAAGACTAGAATCCAAATCTATTTTCATCTTATCTTTAAAAAATTGCGTTTAACATCTTATGTTTCTATTTGATATCTAGATACTGACCAGCGGAGATAAGTGACCACCCGACTTCCTGGTCAGTTTGTTTACACAGGTACTTGTAACAGCCGTATTTGTTCTTGTACGATCTGTACACCCCGGTCTTGTAACACTTCCTCTTGTGGGTACAACCTTAGAGACAAGGAAACGTTTATATTAGTCGTAGATGTTTGAACCACAGGGACTTGGCGTGAATTCCCAAACTAGTGACTGTGATATAGATATATAGACCTCTGGTTGGAAACTTGTGTCCGGCCCCTGTGGTTTGCACTTGCAGGCCACAATTGTTTGTTAAGGTACAAACGGTTAAAAACTATCATGAAGTGTTTCAGATTTCCAAAGTAAATATCACTGTAATGGTTTATTTATAGAAGTGGTGTGAACAGGTTATAGATACTGCGTTACTGTGAGAGATACGGGATATCAATAACCTTCCGTTATAACAGGTTATAGATACTGCGTTACTGTGATAGATACGGGATATCAATAACCTTCCGTTATAACAGGTTATAGATACTGCGTTACTGTGATAGATACGGGATATCAATAACCTTCCGTTATAACAGGTTATAGATACTGCGTTACTGTGATAGATACGGGATATCAATAACCTTCCGTTATAACAGGTTATAGATACTGCGTTACTGTGATAGATACGGGATATCAATAACCTTCCGTTATAACAGGTTATAGATACTGCGTTACTGTGATAGATACGGGATATCAATAACCTTCCGTTATAACAGGTTATAGATACTGCGTTACTGTGATAGATACGGGATATCAATAACCTTCCGTTATAACAGGTTATAGATACTGCGTTACTGTGATAGATACAGGATATAAATAACCTTCCGTTATAACAGGTGCATTTTCTGTATGGTGTTTCCCCATGGAACACATAATTTCCGGTATAGGAGGAGGACAGATATTAATATCAGAACTAGCTGAGAACAAATTTCAATGTACCTGGAACGCCGACAGCCTTGGCGTAGAGTGACGTCACTTTACACGTGTACCAGACACATTTTTTAAACCATTGATCCCCATTGTAGTAGCACCTCCTCCCAGCTCTACAGCCTAATGGAAAAAAACGACAGTATGGATCAGACGAATATAGTCTGAAAATAAAGCAACGAAATCCGGAAAAACTCGTGTATGGCTATAAACAACACGGAGTTAAAACAACCAGCAACAAACGATTTAGAAAATACCCCAATGGTAAACTTCCGCTAATGGTATGACATCAACGTCGACGAGTTATCAGTGATCATTTTTAGTTGGTAACTTGGCAAAAACAAGAAGCTAGTAATAAATTCGGATGCGTAGAGATCATTACTGGACTCGAAACTATTTAGCAAATATGCATTTACTAAAATATCAAACAAAACACGTGCCATTTAATTGCCATAAGCAGGAGTGTAAATTATAATTGTGCATTTGACACGATAACACCCCAATATTCTAACTGTTGTGCGACTTTTTTCGTCAACATTTTAGACAAATGAATGTTCACGGTCGTTATCAGAAACCCATATGTCATAAATAATGACAAGTTATCAATGTACACATAACACCAAGCACAACTTCCCCTGATATTTTGGAAGACAAAATCACACGACACCTAAAGTATCTTATGTCATTAATATGCAATATTAAGATATATAAATGATGATAAAATAGGGAGAAGTTGTAATGGCATGAAATTTGCGGTCGGAAATTGATAAAAGACAATATTACAATAAATCTTGCCTTGTTTAACATTGACCACTTGAGCTGAGTACTGAGTATTGCCAGTATTGTAACCTTGACTGGAAGTAACATCACAGCGCTTATAATTGCATCCATCCTTCCATTCTGCTCCGTTTGACTTGCATTTCTTCTTTTGATCTCTCCCCTCTACTGTGCACTCTGTAATAGTTAGCAGATAAATATAAGCCATATCTTTTATTAAAGGACTACGATGGTGTCGTCGATGAAGGTGTGACACTTACACTAGATATACATGGTGGGTATGGGTGATGAAGGTGTGACACTTACACTAGATATACATGGTGGGTATGGTTGATGAAGGTGTGACACTTACACTAGATATACATGGTGGATATGGTTGATGAAGGTGTGACACTTACACTAGATATACATGGTGGGTATGGTTGATGAAGGTGTGACACTTACACTAGATATACATGGTGGATATGGTTGATGAAGGTGTGACACTTACACTAGATATACATGGTGGATATGGTTGATGAAGGTGTGACACTTACACTAGATATACATGGTGGATATGGTTGATGAAGGTGTGACACTTACACTAGATATACATGGTGGGTATGGTTGATGAAGGTGTGACACTTACACTAGATATACATGGTGGGTATGGTTGATGAAGGAGTGACACACTAGATATACATGGTGGGTATGGTTGATGAAGGTGTGACACTTACACTAGATATACATGGTGGGTATGGTTGATGAAGGAGTGACACTTACACTAGATATACATGGTGTGTATGGTTGATGAAGGAGTGACACTTACACTAGATATACATGGTGTGTATGGTTGATGAAGGAAACATGCTAACCCTTTCTGTTGCTTTAATACAGAAATAGCACATCACCATGTCATTCATTTTCTCTCACA